CTACTTCTTGCTATCTTGCCTTTGACCTTTCCCTTCAGTATGGTTTTTAAAAGCTTGTTTTGTCTTTTAATGAATGTGGCCAAGGCATTTCAACTCTTTTTTTTTTTTCAAATTTCTTTCTGTAATTCTTTTCAAATTTCTAGCCATTCTACAACCTCTGAATTGGACTGTTTTTGTTTCAAAGAAATACGACCTATTTTACTGTATACTCACATCTCCAGAGAGTATATTTGATTTTCTAGTTGTCCTTTTTATTATTCCAGGCAGCTCGGTTTCCACTGGAATGCCAGCAATATCTCTCTACTGTATTAATCCACTCAACTACGATTAAGAAGCTGAACAACTGTGGAAAGGGGCAAAACACACAGAGGAACAAATGGACATTCTGGCCTTTGCCTTTATCAACAAAAACCACAACAACATCAAGGAGGAGAGTGCTCCTTCTTTGTCAGTTTGGTGGTTTAATTTACTGCATTTTACAACAGTAACTCATATCCACCACAACTGCTTTGTCCAAATAAAAGGTTGCTGGAAACAAATAATAACGAAGGAATGAAGTGAATGAAACAAACATATTTTAAATAACCAATATGAACATCTTAAATACTGTCACTCTAGAACTGGACTGACAGGTTGCATCATTAAGTAAAATTCGCACAGAAAGAAGAATATACATCTAAATTATATGTAAGGCCGAAGTGACATGGCCATCGATGGGTAGGAGGCACCATACACAAACCTTTCCCCTATGATACCATGCACAGGATGCCCTTTCAGACAAAACCCGCAGTAGTAAAAATTGTTGGAAGGTAAGGGGAAACCACTGTGTTTTTCCTCAATGAATAATGCCTGTCGGCACTTTAATCAGTTAATGGGGTTCAATGGAATCATCTCATCCAGGAAGAAGTTTCATGTGCTATAGATGATACACAGGACAAGCAGCTCAAACTACACTACCAAACATAGGACCAGCAACTCAAACTACACTACCAAACATACAACCAGCAGCTTAAACTTCACTACCAAACATAGGACCAGCAGCTTAAACTACACTACCAAACATACAACCAGCAGCTTAAACTACACTACCAAACATAGGACCAGCAACTCAAACTACACTACCAAACATACAACCAGCAGCTCAAACTACACTACCAAACATACAACCAGCAGCTTAAACTACACTACCAAACATACAACCAGCAGCTTAAACTACACTACCAAACATACAACCAGCAGCTCAAACTACACTACCAAACATACAACCAGCAGCTCAAACTACACTACCAAACATAGGACCAGCAGCTCAAACTACACTACCAAACACAGGATCAGCAGCTCAAACTTGACTACCAAACGCAACTAGGAAAGATTTATTCTGGGGCCAGATTGAGACATTCCCAGATTCAAGCTCCAAAGAATCCTGCAAGATCTGCCAAAAATAATAAGCATTCTTCATGAATGTAACAAATCAGCTTTGTACAATAGAGCCAAGGATATAGAATCACAACATCTAGTTTGAGAATGGAGGTGGAGGCCGTCAAAGCAGCTTCTTGCTAGCTTGAGAACCAGCTGTATACACATGCTGTGTCTGTAAAATAAACACAAAGCTTGACGAGAAAGGTGGAGGGACACACACCCCATTCAGAGTGGCAAGCATTGCTTCAGAGGTCCCTAGTAGTAAGTCCTTTTTTTTTAAAAATATTTTCGCCAGTGAATTCTGGTGTGTTGGGAAATGAACAGGCAGATGGAATTACTGGGGTTGCACCAATGGGTGAGTGACTTGATGCATGACAAGCGAGATGTGGTCAAAGTCTTTGGGAGAAATTAAACTAACTTGGAACCATGAATAAATCATTATGGTGGGGGGAAGGGGTTGACAAGGGGATGCAGCAAAGACTCTTCACCTAAAGGAAAGGCAAGATAGACATACAACCATACCGCTACTGACACCATCCGAACTCAAACTCATCGCTGGCTGTTGAAGATAAGGACAGAGTGCATGTGAAAATGTCCCGAGTGCTGTTATGTCAATTCTCAACAAATTATCTCATAAAGCCTGAACAAATTTAGTAAAAAAGAAGGCAACAAAAAGGCGGGAAAAAACCAGGTCACGAATGTGACCAAAAATATGCAACTGAGCTGTCTTCAAAAAATCTGTATGATTTGTTCAAACGATAGTGGAGCTCAATTTTGGCCAAACTGCTGTCTTGTCCATTGAGTTATCTAGCCACAGTTTGTGCTGTATGATTTCTTCAAACGATAGTGGAGCTCAATTTTGGCCAAACTGCTGTCTTGTCCGTTGAGTTATATAGTCACAGTTTGTGCTGTATGATTTGTTTAAACGATAGTTGAGCTCAATTTTGGCCAAACTGCTTGCTCTCTTGTCCGCTGAGTTATCTAGTCACAGTTTGTGCTGTATTTAGTAAGTAAGTAAACAGTAAAAGTATCTTTTCCATGCCTTTAGGTATATAGGGCATATAGGACTAGATCTATATTTTTATAGACCAATCAGCAAAAGATGGGTGATGTGGTCAGCATCACTCCGGCCACCTTCATATCCCGGGACTGCACCAGCTACCCACTCAAGGCTGGGTCGACATGGCAGCCAAGTTCATTTTTTTTAAAAGTCTGGTTCCGCCAAGGAGCAAACCTACGACCTTCCGATACGCAGGCGAATATCTAGCCGCTCCGCCATGGCGACTCTCCACTGTATTCAGTATTCCATTGACAAAGATTTGGGTCGAAATCTTCCGTTGTGTTTGTGTGCGTCTTTCTCATTCAACTCCCTGGGCTTTCTAGTCACATTTTGTGTTGTATTTAGCATTCCATTTCTGGCCAGTCAACCCTAAACTACAACTATCATTCCTTTTTGTTAGCTATCACTGTAACAATTATTATATCATGTCTAATCTCGTTAGCTATCACTGTAACAATTATTATATCATTTCTAATCTATCTGGGTAAACAATAATCTAGTTCAAACTATAAGTTATTTATTTTAAGCCACAAATGCTAATAATTTTTGTGTACATTAAATCAAAACAAGTGGTCAATCAACATAATCTAAAACAATCTATAAGAACTTTTCTTTCAAAAAGCAGCTGCTGGGAGACTTTTCCATAAATCCAGGGTTTCTTAGCAAAAGGGAAATTAGCAAGAGGCCCAAAATAGCTGTTTAACGCTCCACCTATGTACCAGCCCTGATCTACGGGTGTGAGTCTTGGTAAATGACAACAGCTCAAAAGCCAGCTTCAAAAATGAGATATCTGAGAAAGGTGGTCCAAGTGACAAGAAGGGAAAAAGTCCGCAATCAGACAACATGTCAAGATCTTCAAACCCAGGCCTTACAAACCCGAGCTGATCAGTCACAGTTACGATGGTTTGGATATGCATGTAGAATGGGAGAAAAACGGCCACCACAGCAGGCATGGGAGGCTAAGAACCAGGGACCCAGACCTCCAGGGCGACCCAGGGTCAGTTGGGAGGACAACAACCAACAGTCTCTAATGGCACAAAGCCAGAAAGACAACTGCTGATAGAGAGGTCTGCTGACCTCTCTGGAAAACTTCTACACCCCAGAGTAGAAGAGGAGTGGCTAAGTAAGTAGAACCTTTCTTTCAGTAAAATAATAACAGCCAATGGTCAAAGCAAATGTAAGTCAGATGTTAAACTCACTGGTCAGAAACCTCCTTATCGTCACATGAAACCACCTATCAGAACCAAGGCTTTTTATCTAGGGAAAAAAAATATGCTAGCAGTAACCACAGTGTGTGTATTATAGAAGTAATCTTCTTCTTCTCTTCTACCATTTACCTCAGTGAGGTGTTGGGGGAGATGTAAGGATCATTGGTGTGGTTTTTCTAATTTATTGTATAAGTTCGTGTTCATTTCTGTTAGGTTGCTCCATCTCTTGTGTGGTCTTTCCCTTGCTCTGTGTTCAATATATATTTCTACAGTAGTGATTAAGAATGCCTTTAAAAGGGTGCTGGTACTGTGTACTGCAGAAAGGACAAAAAGCCCTGGTCAGAACTCTACTAGTCTGATAATCTAACCATACAGCTCGTTCTTCAGGCAGAACAGCTAAGGAAGCCAGCGGCGCCTTCTTCATGACCACCAGCAGCATGACGATGGAGGTGATGGCGGTGACACAGGCTTTCATGTGGCTCTGTTCACAGGACTATTCCCGCATGTGTGTGCTGAGTGATTCTTTGAGTATGATCCGGCGGGTCGAGGCAGGCTGGTTACGCAGAAAGTGGCTTGAGTCATTGCAAAATTCTCCTGTGTGTGCAGTTACTTTCATATTCGTCATAGGGCATGCAGGTGTTGTTGGTAATGAGAGAGCCGAAAGACTGGCAGGCACTGCATTAATTGGAGATGGCCGGCCCATGGATCACGCAGACATTGTCATTGCCCTTAGAGAGATAGGACGTTCTGAGGATTTTGGAAGCAACGTGTCCATATCACTTCTAAGAATACGCGAATTGGGAGTAAAGATCGGCACAGCCAAACATGAGAAGCACACTGGACACACACAAAGTCTTGTCAACCAACATAGGACTGGTACTATTAACTGCACGACGCTGATGAATATGTTGAGAGGGGAATCTGAGCGCCTATGGATGTGTCCGGAGTGCTGTGAAGATAATCTAATCTAACTCATTACTCATACTGCAAGAATTTCCTTACAGTTAACAAAATCCACCAACATCCTATCAAAACTCACCTTTCTGTAAGATTACCAGTCTTTCAGTTTACTCCAAAATCATCTTTAAAATACTAACAGAGTTCTGAGAATCAAGCCAGGAAACAAATCCATGCAATAAATTAAACAACAAGTATCAATCATCAACTGGTTGTCGAAGTATGTACAGGAAAAAAATGAATAACAGTTCTTAATCGAGGTGGGTGCGCACGCATATTGTTCAGACTGATGGCGTACGCTTCACAGATTTCTGGTGTGTAGGCCATGACAAGCACACGACCCCTATCTGTCCGTCTTAATGGCATATCCGTTCTGTCATCTCTCTCTGAAAACGCCAATATAAAAACATAGTTAACTGAGCTACAATGAAAAGTTTACAAAAGTGGCTTATTGGAATTGTTCACTAAGTTAGTTCATCAGGACCTCAGACTGGCTCATCGGAATTGTTCACTAAGTTAGTTCATCAGAACCTGAGACTGGCTCATCAGAATTGTTCACTCAGTTAGTTCATCAGAACCTGAGACTGGCTCATTGGATTGTTCACTAAGTTAGTTCATCAGAACCTCAGACTGGCTCATCGGAATTGTTGACTAAGTTAGTTCATCAGAACCTCAGACTGGCTCATCGGAATTGTTCACTAAGTTAGTTCATCAGAACCTCAGACTGGCTCATCGGAATTGTTCACTAAGTTAGTTCATCAGAACCTGAGACTGGCTCATCGGAATTGTTCACTAAGTTAGTTCATCAGAACCTGAGACTGGCTCATCGGAATTGTTCACTCAGTTAGTTCATCAGAACCTCAGACTGGCTTATTGGAATTGTTCACTAAGTTAGTTCATCAGAACCTCAGACTGGCTCATCGGATTGTTCACTAAGTTAGTTCATCAGAACCTCAGACTGGCTCATCAGAATTGTTCACTGTTCATCCGAACTTCAGACTGGCTTATCGGAATTGTTCACTAAGTTAGTTCATCAGAACCTCAGACTGGCTGATAGGATTGTTCACTAAGTTAGTTCATCAGAACCTCAGACTGGCTCATTCACAAAACTTTTTACTCCTTTCCCCCACCCCCTACCGGTAACGCAAACAACAAGGGTCATGACCCCGTGGAAATTGTTGAAAATTCATCTAAAAACAATTTCACATAGGTCACTAAAAAATTTTTATAAAATGTATCCATGTTCATTTTTTCATGTTCAGACCTGATGGTCTGATCTGAGCATACGAAACCGAACACAAAGAAGAAGAAGATCTAATATTGTATCTTCTATCAGCAGTTGTTTATAAATGGTCTTCAGAATGTCAGTCTTGTTGTTGTTGTTATTGTTGTTCCTAGTGTTCACTGACTGTAAACTCCACCGGAAAGTTTGGCTTGTGGACTTTGCTCTTGTCACCAGTATTGGACTTTGTGTGCACATTTGTGTTACAGATCTGGCTATTTGTGTGCAGACTGTTGGTTCTTGACCTTTGAGGCAATGCACTCTGACTTTGAAGAAAACTTTCACAATTAGTCCCTTTTAGGCACTCAGTAGTTTTTTCTCTTTGTTGTGCACCAGAACCCACAGGAGGTGCTAGGCACTTCTCTCAATATATGTTCCTATGACTGCCACTTTTGAAGCCAAGAAATATATTCATTCTTCATTACCTAAAGTAGTTGAATGTAATGGTTTTCGAAATTATTTAATTGGGCTGGTTCGCTAAAGTAATTCACAGGAAATGAATCATCATGATCATCAGGTGCCTTGCCAACTGGGGTGAGCGAACATGCCTCTCCATAATCCATGATGTCCTGCAGCATGTATCAGTTCGTGTGCTGACACACCTCCATGCCATGCAACAAGACTGTCAAGAATCTTCTCTCGTTGTCTTCCTCTATCCCTCCTTCCACAGATCTTTCACAACATGTTCTATTTTCCCTCTTCTCATAACATAGCCGAAAAATGATGACTGTCTCCTTCTGAAGGAAATGAATAGGAGCCAGAAAAAGACGTGGAGGCAAGGGCCATAGATCTATGAAATCCAGCATGATAAACCCTCAGGGAACTCACCAAAGGCTCCAGCTCCTTCTTGTCAATCAGGTTGTACTCGGTGACGAAATAATAGAAATGTTTATAGCAGGTGTTGACATGAGCCTCCTGTCAACAGATTTAGATCAATAATCAAATCATTTGATTATTATATTTGATTATTTGAGAATTTACAGAGAAATAGAAACCAGATGTCAGAAAGCAAATGCACTTATACATAATTGTCACCATTATTAAGACATCCAAGCATAAATATGAGTGCAAAGAGACAGATTATAAACAGCATATTCATTCTAACATTAAGCTACAAGTGCCAGACATGGACACCATCTAAAGCCCATTTACACAATATCACCACTTGCGAGATGAGGTGCCTGAGAAAAGTAGCCAACCTAACCATCCGAGATCCAGTGAATAATTAAACTAGCAGGCAAAATGTAGGAACAACACCTTGTACTAGATTCATCGAGAAACAGCAGATCAAGTGGTTTGGCCATCTCGTTAGAATGCAGCAAGATCAAATAAATTCACAAGCACTACATCTCAGAAGATCAGCTACAAGAGCAAGAGGACAGCCACCATGAAAAATATGGACTGACAACATTAAAGACACTCTACGCCTTCACGGCATGCCAGTGGCAACAAGCATACACAGGATCGCAAATTATTCCTCCCCACGCTGTTTAACGGCAGAAGTGGTTTATGATGATAATGATGATCAAATCATAAACACAGAATATCAAAATGTTGCACAGGAGCTTAATTTACGTCGACAATAACTGTGTAAAAGCTATGGGTATTCAGATACTAGCATGCTAACCTGAATGTTTTGAGTTTGAATCTCCAAAACAGATTAAAAAATAAAAAATTGATCTAGGCTTCCAGGTCATCACCATCATCATGTGCCCTGCTGATAAATGTAAGCTGTGATGACTACCCATCTGATCCCCAGAATCATAGATCAGACCAGTGCCTCCCCCCCACAATCCAGGTGACAAAGACATCCAAGTATTTATCACTGTGCCTTCCACCTGATTCTCTGTCCATCAATCTTGCTAGTTGTCACAAACTTTTTGAGTCTATTCCTTCTCATAAAAGTAAAGTAAAGATTCATTTTTTATGCCTTAGGCGCATCAGGCAAATGAGAAATGCACCAGTATTTTTAGACAAATCGGCACTATTGGGTAATGTGGTCAGCATTACGCTGGGCATCTTTACATCCCCAGGACATACACCCTGGTGCCCATTTTAGGCTGGGTTGACCTGCAACGCCCCCCCCCCTCCCTCCCCGCATACCATGATACAAATCCAGGCAGCTAGCAGTGGGTTTTGATCGGGGTGCTTTGGAATTACAAGTCGGATTTTCAATGATTAAGCCACGGGCGCCGCTGTTCCTTCTCACATGCCCAAAAACAGTGACGGTCTACGTCTTAATTTCCCTGGTCTGCGTATGGCTTTCATGTTTCTTCAGGAAGACAGCCTCCTTTATTCCTTATCTTTCCTGCAAGTCAACTAAGGCAGAAACAGGCACCAGTAACTGCCAACTGACCCTTCCCGGGCAACATACAATAAAAAAAAAATCATCACTGGAAGTTCTGCCAGTTCACCAGCTGTAAACTGTAAGGTGTTGCGTGTGCATCCGTTTGACAGATCTGACTAATGCACACTGTTGGTTCCTTGCCTCTCAGGCAAATGCACTCTGACTTTGAGATAAGCTCCCAATTATTAGACTCTTATAAAATGCTTTGGGTAGGCAGTGGGTTATTTTTGTTTTCCTTATAACAGGGCCCCGGAACTTACATGGAGAATCTTTGCAAGTGTCCAAGAGAAAAAAAATATTTGAAGATAAAAAATTAAAAACAGGAAGTATAAAAAAAAAAGGAACCCAAATTAATTTGATACATGCAGGTTCTTAAATATGCAAAGTACTCACCGCTCCAATTGCCAGGAGTTTATCAAAATGATGGATGTAGACGTGTACAAACACACGAAACAATCTTTTCAATATAGTTTTTGCTACACTCAAGTAATTTTTTGGAAATGGTTTGCCTGTGGAGAAAAGAACAAGCAATGATGTATACTAAAAAAATTCTTTAAAAAATTTTGTCACACACTTTTATTAACCATTTATGACCAACATTTAAAGATATTTATCACTTTGTTATAAATATAACTACTCATTATCATAACCATCCACAAGCGTCACCACTCATTACAACAACCAGCTTCAACTGTAACCACTTAATACTACAACAAACTCTAACCACTCAATACTACAACAAACTGTAACCACTCAATACTACAACACACTGTAACCACTCAATACTACAACAAACTGTAACCACTCAATACTACAATACACTCTAACCACTCAATACTACAACAAACTGTAACCACTCAATACTACAACACACTGTAACCACTCAATACTACAACAAACTGTAACCACTCAATACTACAACAAACTGTAACCACTCAATACTACAACAAACTGTAACCACTCAATACTACAACAAACTGTAACCACTCAATACTACAACAAACAACTGTAACCACTCAATACTACAACACACTCTAACCACTCAGTACTACAACACACTGTAACCACTCAATACTACAACACACTGTAACCACTCAATACTACAACAAACTGTAACCACTCAATACTACAACAAACTGTAACCACTCAATACTACAACACACTGTAACCACTCAATACTACAACAAACTGTAACCACTCAATACTACAACAAACTGTAACCACTCAATACTACAACAAACAACTGTAACCACTCAATACTACAACACACTCTAACCACTCAATACTACAACACACTGTAACCACTCAATACTACAACACACTGTAACCACTCAATACTACAACAAACTGTAACCACTCAATACTACAACAAACTGTAACCACTGAATACTACAACTATCAACTGTAACATTACTACAACAAACAACTGTAACCATATAATACTATAACAAACAACTGTAACCACTCAATACTACAACTAACAACCGTAACCAGTCAATACTATAACAAACTGTAATCACTCAATACTACAACAAACTGTAACCACTCAATACTACAACAAACTGTAACCACTCAATACTACAACAAACTGTAACCACTCAATACTACAACAAACTGTAATCACCCAATACTACAACAAACTGTAACCACTCAATACTACAACAAACTGTAACCGCTCAATACAACATGTTTCCTTCAAACAGTACCCGCTGACTACAGCACCTACTTACTTTTGCATCTACTGACAACAGCACCTACTTACTACAATACCCACCTACTATTTGCATCTACTGACTACAGCACCCACTTACTATTGCATCTACTGACTACAGCATCCACTTACTATTGCATCTACTGACTAAAGCATGAACTTACTATTGCATCTACTGACTACAGCATCCACTTACTATTGCATCTACTGACTAAAGCATGAACTTACTATTGCATCTACGGACTACAGCACCCACTCACTACAGTACCCACCTACTATTGCACCTACTGACTACAGCATCCACTGACTACAGATACACATACTATTGTATCTACTAACTACAGCACCAACTCACTATTGCTTTCACCCACTATTGCATCCACTTACTGCAGCACCCACTCACCCACTTGAACAGGAAATAAGTTCTCATCATTGATCTGTGTCTCCACCCACTCCATAAGTAGAGTAATGTACTGTGGGGCGGGCAGGGCCGTGGGTTTCTTGTAGTTGACCCCATCGCACCAATGGTACTCGTACCTGCAAGATATGCATGACAAATTACAGGCCTGTGAATATGACACTGACAGGTCATCTTCCCACCTTTACTGATGTCTACCCCTTGCTTTTCTACCTCTAACGTCAGTAGTTTTTACAAAAGTGTTATATATCTGTTAACGCGGCAGAGGTATTTTTCTTCTGTATTTCTTTTTTTAAACATTCCTTTCAATGCTGATCTTTTTCACTTGTCTTTAGAGACAGGTTCAAACAACAGATCAACATCATGGTATAAAGGTAGTAGTCCTTAAATGCTCCGTTCTACTTCTAACTAACCCCTGAGAGCGAAGAATCTCAGTGCAGTGCATGACCTTCTGCAGCACCGGCGAGGATCCAGAAATACTTTGGGTAGATTTTAAACTTAAATTTTGCTTGGGCAGCGCATTAGGCTACTCTTTTTGATTTCCAACTACCAAGGAATTTTGTCTGAATCCAGGACTTCCAGCACTCGAGGCAGACGCCATGCCTCGAGACCACTCAGCTTTCCAGTGACTATATCTGTTTTTATTCACACAAAATATCACCACAGATCACTGGCTAACAAATGCATATAGAGAGTGACAGATGACACAGAGACAAACATTGCATATACAAAACAGACAGTAAACAACAAGGCAGACCGAGAAGACAATGGAGAGACAATATCAGGGCAGATCTACAAACACCTGGAGTCACCAGCTGGAAAGAAACGGTAAATCACAGGGATGAGTAGAGGCAGGTGACACTGCAGCAATGAATCTCAATCTTTATTACTCTTTTTTTTTTCTGTCCAGGGTGTTCTCAACATACATCTCTTAGCTGCATACATGCATACCAAGCTAGGACACACACCAGTGAATTAGATTTTTTTTTAAAGGAACAAAGCAGAAAATCCAGTTTCAAAACAAAGCCTTCAGCAAACAAGTAAACTGAAAAAAAAATTCTACCTCTACGAGGAAATGGAACCAGTTCTACAATTAATCACCAGCCACAAACAGCCAAAAGCACATAACAAAGCTACATACTTGGTCCCCCCAGACATTGTAGGGCAGGTTTGTTCAGTACAATGCTCAAATATAGTGCCATACAGAAGGTTGATTCGGTTGAAGAAGTCCACCACTGAAATAAACAAATCCATCATCCTACTATTATAATCCTATTAGAAATAGTCTTTAAAAATACAGGCCCAAAAAAATGTTTCAGCAATTAGCCTTCATCAGCAGAACCATTACAAGAAACAAAACATAAGCGAACACAAGTGTACTGACTAGTACTGACGATATTCAAATATCATGTTCACAACTGAGCAAAAGCAGAAACGACAGAAATAAATAAAGTATTATGATATTAGAAATAAAGTATCCTACTAAAGGTTGTGGTCTTGTCCCATGTATATACTTCAGGTTCACGGGTGCAATTTTGACAGAAAAGACCTCTGGAGACTGTTGCTGAAGCTACAGTGTTCACGCTTCATTGAGCGCTCTCAACAGGCGGCTAACCATTATGCGGGAAGAGACCGAGCCATGTGGGATAAAACCCAGCGCAACTAAGCCGATCCTCTCAACTTTAACCTTTAACTATTTAAGACAATGGTAGATTAATGGTGCAGCCAGCAAGCTCTGAGGTTGGCCCAGTCTAAGACAAGAGGTCAGTCCCATGGTACAATCAAGTGCCTGTGCTGACTGGCGTAGGCCATCATGCCTCTTCACAACCTGTGATCTTTAACAGCATGTTTGCACTTGAGTCTTGTTCCAGAACTTGAGTTCTGCATGCCTATCTATTTCACAGATCTGGCTTATTATGCAGACTGTTGGTTCCTCACTGTCAGGCAGATGCACTCAGAATTTTAAGGAAACACACCCAATTAATCTACTTTTACAACATGCTTGCTAAGTGGTGGTGGCTCTATTCTTTTTCCCCACCTGGAACCCATGCAGGGAGGTTTTGGGTTCAAAACCTCATCACCACAGATTATGGCTATCAGGAGATTTTCTGGAAAGTAAAGGGGTCTGACTACATCACCCACCGAGTTTCATTTGGTCTTAAAAACAATCTTATTTTTCTTGTTTTGTCATCTCACTGATGCCAGGTTGTAGCTCATGTGGTGGTTTTCTGTATTCGTCTTGTATTTCTCAAGTGGCTTGAGTGACGTAATTGTGCATCTTTTTTGCAGGTTTCAGCTACACTATTTATCTACATTTTTACTTGGTCTTCCTCTCGCCTTCCTCCGAGATGCTGCACTGTAAAAAGTCTTATACGCAGTGTCATGTGGTCTTTAAGACAAATAGTGTCCAACACCACATGCTTGATGACTACTGGCATGACAGTATAACTCTTTCTGTCCTAAGGAATTATTTCTTTAACCCTCTCAATCATAAAGAGATAAGCATGAAAGCAAAATGTACTTATATCGAAAAGTTCTCCTTGTTCTTTGTGTTCCTCTCATCAGAATCATCTGTGTTGACTGAAAGTATACCAGACAGAAAGATGGGGATAGACATGACTACCAATGCCACACAGCATGGACTTTCAGAAGAAGAAGAAGATGCTCAGGCCAGACCACCAAGTGGGCTGCCTCTATGAACTTGCATGTCAGTTACAGAGTCAGTCTTGCTCTGCAGACTTTGCTCTTGCGACCAGGTTTCTCTTTGCTGTTGTAGGTATAGTGGATAGGCCTGCAGAATGTGCTCAGATGTTTGTGGTACCGACTGACATGCACAGCTTTAAAGCGAGCATGTGGTGGTAGGTTCCTTGCAACATTCTGAATGCTTTGACATCTTTCTGGGAGGTGGTATCTTTCCTGAATTTCATTAACACTGTGTAAAACTGATTTATGCTTTATTCTTTGTTTGTATTTCCAGTTTTCTACAAGGTGTCTATTATGGTGGTTACAATTCTTTCTAACGTATCTTTCATAAATTTCTAAAGTGGCTTTTTCTCTCCGCAACCCAAAAAGTTCCACATTTGTATGGATTTCACATGCAGCAGTTGGTGTAGACTGCATAGCTCCGCAGATTAATCGGAGGGCATTTTTTTTTTACTCTGTCAAGAGTCTCTAGGTTAGTTTTGGAGCAGGTTTTAAGCAGTGAGTTGTTGTACTCTATCACAGAGCGAACATATCCAAGAGCCCTTCAGAGTTTCCTTGTCTGATCCCCATGATGTAACTGCAAGTCTCTTTAATAACTGTAACCGCCTCAACACCTTATTCTTTACATTTTCAATATGATTCTTGAGGTTGAGCTGCCTGTCAAGTGTGACTCCAAGGTATGTAGGATGCTCTTCTTTCATCACTTGGTGTTTGTCTAACCTCAGGTTGATATTCTTCCTTGCTACTTGATGGCTTTTGGTAAAGATTGTGTAGACCTTCTTTGCACAGTTAACCTTGAGTTTCCATCTTTGGCAGTACTCATGCAGTCTTTTAAGGTCTCCATTTAGTCTTTGGGCTCCACTTTCCACATGTTCATGACTCTGCCATATTGCTAGGTCATCAGCGTACAAGGCTTTTTCGGCCTTGATTTGTTCTGGCAGGTCATTGATAAAGATTAGGAACAGTGTACAGCTCAATGATGAGCCTTGTGGCAAGCCTTCCTCCAAAACTTCTTTAGAAGAGATTGCGTTGTGCATCTTAGTCTGAATTGTTCTATCTATCAGGAAGTATTTCACCCAGTTATACAATCTGCCATGTATTCCTATGCTCATCATCTTCATCACAAGACCTTTTCTCCATACTCTGTCATAGGCCTGCTGGAGGTCGACAAAGATGGCCACTGTGTGTTTCTTATTCTGGAAGCTATCATGTATTCTTTGTGTCAGTCTGAACAGCTGGTCTTCTGTACAGCTGTTGGTTCTGAAGCCTGCCTGTTCATGGCATAGAGCACCAGAACTCTCTAGGAACCAATACAATCACCTGTTTATCATTCTTTCTGCAACTTTGCCCAAGCATGATGTTTAGGATATTGGGCGGTAGCTTTTGTGACATGCGCACAGAGGGAACTGTACAGTCTTTATTTTATTCATCCGTCTGCAGGCCCAGTTCTTAGACAGAACATTCTTTAAAGAGTTTGACACAAACAATATGGGGCAGAAGTAGTGAAACTAATCATTCAGATACAAATATAACAAATATCTGTAATAAAATCTTCCTAAAGTCCACGATGTGTGGCAATGGTAGTCATGTCTGTTCACAAGCTTCTATCTCATGTACTTTCAATCAACTCTGAGACAAATGATCTTCCATGCCATGATGTCAAACTGTTTAGCATCTGTTCTATTGGTCTCCCTCTGCCTCTCCTTCAACTTTCCTTCCCTTGCGATGTACTCCAGTTTTCTCCTTCTCAACACATGATCAAAGAATGTAGATTGTCTCTTTCTGATGGGGGCAGTCAGTTCTCTTCGTGAGTCAGTTCCTTTCAAGACATCTTCATTACTCTTTTTATCTGTCCAGGGTATTCTAGTCATTTGTCTAAAAAAAAAAAAAATACAGCTTCCAAATACTTTTTCATTAATTAGTGAAAATGAAAACAAAATACAATTTATGTAATAAAATACAGCAAGAATATTACAGTATCTGTGAAACAACCAAGAAACAAATGGTAAGTTGACAGATAATTAAAAAAGTTAGACTTTTACCTTTCCCCAGTATGGGGAAAACAAGAAAAGACTAAGTGGGGTTTTTCTTCGAAGTCAGAGTGCATCTGCCTGAGCAACAAGGAATCAATCGTCTGCACACAAATAAGCCAGATTTGTAAAATAGATATGCATGCAACACTCAAGTTCTGGAATAAGACCAAAGCCCACAAGTGGATGAACAACCAGAACTTTCTGTGTCAGTTGGTGAATGTGAAGAATAAGAACTGTTACTTTTAGTAAACAACAGTTTTTCCCCTTGAAGTCGGAATACATCTGCCTATGAGGCAGGGAACGGCTAAAGCCATTAAAACGGTTGTACGCACAAAACTCAGGTCCAGGTAAAAGCCAAAAGTCCAAGCGGACGACCAGCCGGGACCTTTCGACGGAATTCACAGCCGGTGAACGAAGAAGAAGAAGAAGTAAACAACAGAAAGAATATTTAAATGAGACCATGAACAGCGATCCAGTCGTTGACATCCTCTCCTGGCGGCAGCTTCACCACTTCTTTCAGATCAATCCCAGAGTTCAGGGAAGCATTGGCTTGTTTGTGCAAATTGTATTTCAGGGTGCCACTTTCAAATCTTTTCTTCGGCTTGAAGGTCTGCAAAGAGTAAAAGAGAGAAAAACATCATTAATAAATAACAATAACTGATGCTTTTATTCATTCTTTGTTGCTTCTCCTTGTTAGATTCAGGCCATGTCTTTTTTGTCAGGTCCAGTCCTTCTCCTTGTCAGGTCCAGTCCTTCTTGTCAGGTCCAGTCCTTCTCCTTGTCAGGTCCAGTCCTTCTTGTCAGGTCCAGTCCTTCTCCTTGTCAGGTCCAGTCCTTCTCCTTGTCAGGTCCAGTCCTTCTCCTTGTCAGGTCCAGTCCTTCTCCTTGTCAGGTCCAGTCCTTCTCCTTGTGAGGTCCAGTGCTTCTCCTCACAGGTCTAGGTCCAGTCTTCTGCACCTCATGCTCTCTCCCCCTAGAGGCCAGGATACTCCCACTACTGTTGTGATGTTTGGAGATAAAGGCTGCTGGGACAGTGAGAGACATTTTATTTGATTTTTACTGGCACAAGAACGGAGCATGTACGGGGATGACCCGATTCCAGTAAAGTTGGAACCTCGACTAAGACTTGGATGTCTTGGCCAAACTGATGAATCGAAACAAGAACACTAACCTGATCTGTGATTTTGATGATCATGTGGTGTGGAAAGGCAACACAGTGATGACATTTTCTTTTTCTTTTTCATAAATAGCACTTTAGTTGTAAATGCCCAGTGTGCCATTGGCATATAAAGGATATTTTACTTTAGTATATGTTGTGATGAATGTATTGTACGAAAGTGCCACTAAATCTTGGAAGGTGAATGAGCAAGTAGGAAGAGCTCTGGCAGCAAAAGTGGGTAGTTTTTGTGAATACATAAAGCAGCCACAATAATTAACAATGACTGCAGGAAAAAGCCAAAATAAATTTGAAAAGGAAAAAAAAAAAACATACATTTGTACCTTGATAGAAGAAGAAGAAGGAGGAAGAAGTAGAAGAAGAAAAGAAGAAGAAGGAAGAGGAGGAAGAAGAACTCTGAAGAAGAAGAGACACAAAATCCATTGTTTGTTTACTACTATTCTTGACAAGGTGACAGTAGAGGACTGAGTCCATTGTTTGTTTTCGTTCACATAATAATGTTCTTTAATATTTAAAATAATTGGGATTCCTGTTAGGGTTGGACTCTCACTGTGGAAATGGAAAGGAGGATTCAGGCTTTCGAATGTACTACAGACGCATTTTACGAATTAGTTATTTAAAACACAAAACTAATAAATATGTCAGAGACAAAATATTCAAATTTGCGGGACATCAGGAGTCTTTCTTGGCAGTGGTGAAAAATTGCAAGCTAGCTGGGTTTGGGTGCATGGTGAGAAATGATTTGACTGCAAAGACTGTACTTCAAGGAACACTGGGGGAGGGAAGGGGTCAAAGAAGAGGAACACAAAGAAAAACATGGATAGACAACATCAAGAAACTGACAGGACTAAGGGTTATCCTCTGAATAATGGGCACATATTATGGCAGCCAAAAACAGGGCCTCAGTCACATGTAAATTGCGAACTTTCTGCGATTTAATTTGCAGACTTCTGGCGACTACCGCCACCCCCAAAAGTATCCCCCACACCGCTCATGCGTCGTGGATTGGGGCTAAACTAGATGGCTGGGACTCACGAGCAAAGCTGCAGGAGATGCAGAAGCTGCTGCTTGTGAGTCCCAGCCATCTAGACGCGGCATGGGGGGAGGGGGATACTCTCTGCGGTGGTGGTAGTCGCTGAAAGTCCGCAAATTAAGTTGCCGGAAGTGCGCAATTGTCATGTGACTGAGGCCCTGTTAGGGTGTTTTTGCGGCCGCCATAATATGTGCCCATTATTCGGAGGATAGCCGGACCATTATACACTTATTCATTAAGAGAAAGATGGCGAGTTATATGTGCTAGTGCTTCCATCAATACATCTCCCTGACCCTAATGGGTCAAGGGTTATGTTATGTATGGTTAGTGTTAGTACTGAACAGAAACAAACAATCGATTGGAAACATACAATGGATTGCGTCCCTCTGTGTTGCTGTATGTTGAACTATGTATTGGCAGTGCAGATTATTCTATGTCATCAATCAATCAATAAGGTGCCTTCTCCACAGTGAAGGTTGGCTGCAATGGAACTCCAACATGCTCTGTCTCCTGTCCTGGTCGTACTCTCTCAGACTGTTGCCCATCCATCTCTTGATTTTGTTTTCCTTGTATTGTTACCAACCTCTTGCATTCGACATTTCTCACCATGGTTTTTAAAAGTGTTAAGTCTTTTAATGTGGCCAAAGTATTTCAGTTGTTTCTATTTTTTTTGGGTCAGTACTTCCCTTTTCATGTGTAGATTTTCAGAACCTCTGTTTTGGATAGTTTGGCTCTCCTTTGAATCAACCCCCAAAATGGCGGCATGCCACATTCTGGACATAAAATATCCAAAAATATCCAAACGACGGTGTTCGCATATATCTAAAATACGGACTTTCTGCCAAGGAACAAATCGAGGCAAAACTAAGATTACTTGACAATCAATATCAACATTGCATGCGGTAGTAGCAGAGGATAAATACCGACCGTTGACAATTTCGAGACATTACAGACGATGAAAGCCGATTAGCAATACTGTGTTCTTCCGATTGGAGGATTTAGCAGCGGTAGATGTCAGACTTGTCGGCATACGCCAAACGAGATTAAACTCATCGCCAAGGGTATCCCCGTGCCGCTACGCGCGGCGCGGATGGGGGGCTAAACTAGGTGCCTGGGACTCACGAGTAAAGTAATTGGAGGAAGTTGCAGGAGATGCGGTAGCTGTTACTCGTGAGTCCCAGCCATCTAGTTTAGTCCCCATCCGCGCCGCGCGTAGCTGCGCGGGCGATACGGTCGCCGGTGAGGCACACTCGCAGAAGCCGGTCCGCAAGTAACATATCGCTGCGACTCTGTTAGAGCATTTGTTTCGTTATACGGAGCCCCGGCATATTTTTAATAGAACTGAGCCCCATTCGGATATTTTATGGCAAGAAATTGGCCAATTTAGCTCTCTTTCGAACGCCATTATATTAAAGCCTCCATTTTGGGGGTTGATTCAAAGGAGAGCCAAGAGTTTTTGTTTCCATGAAATACGACCTATTCTTCTGTATACCCACATCTCCAGAGACTAATTCGATTTTCGGCTCTCCTTCGAACTAATGCGGGGGTAGAAGTTCGGAGGAGAGCCCGATTTTCTAGTTGTTTGTTTGTTTATTGTTATCATTGTACAAGTTTCTGCAGTTTTTATTATTAATATGTAGGCTTGTGTAATTATTTTAGTTGTATTCCAACATGAATTCTGAAGAATCGCCCTGGTGTAAAGATAAAACCCGCCGAAAACGAAACATTTCGTAAAGTGTGTTACTGCTGAACTACCAGAGTAGACTGTGACCCTATTTTGTTTTGGTTTTTTTATTTATTGTTTGTTTACAAAATTAGTACGCGGAAGGTCTTCGGGCATGTCTCCGCTTCCAACATCATCTCAGAGCTAAAGCAAATAGCCCACTTTAAATTACCAGAAAAAATGTTACCATAATCGTCGGATTAAAAGATAACGCGGAGGCCGGTGAAGGAAAAATGTCAATATTAAACAAGTACCTTGTCTTTGAGAAACAAGTGAGAGAACTTCAGTCGGGCACCCGCCATCTTGCGTCTGCTACTAATATTGTCAGGGCCAGGTTTTTGTGAAGACTTCAACTAAACTTTGTAAATGTTCTGATATCAGAGGTCGTTACGGAGTTCGTGCACTGTGCTGTGATTTTTTCGGACTCAAACTTGAGTCAGAAGTAGAACCGAGCACTTATGGGTTACCACCATTGTGCTATGATGTTGATCCGTAGTTTACAACAATACAAACAAACAAGAGGCATTAAAATAAAGGTGATGATGATGAAAGAAAATGTGAGAAGAGAGAAAATTCGACCGGTGGGAAAGTTTGGGGGGTTGGGGGGGGGGGGGGGGGGGCTTATGGTTTAGCGGTATGATGACAAAACTTTTTGGAAAATCTGTTTCTTTCATTTATCCACCAGCCTACCGACTTATCGCTTGCCGCGGATCGGAAGGTTGTGGGTTCGATCCCTGGCGGAGCCGGACTTTTTTTTCAAAAAATGACCTTGGCTTCCAGGTCGACCCAGCCTTGAGTGGGTACCGGGTGCAGTCCCGGGAAAGTGAAGGCGGCCTGCGTGATACTGACCACATCACCCATCTTGTGCCGATTGGTCTATAAAAATATAGGTCTAGCCCTATATGCCTTAAGGCGTGGAAAAGGGTCCTTTACTACTTTTTACTTACTACCGACTCATCCACCTGTTTGCCCATTCCTCTGTGTGTCTGCCTGTCTGACCACCTGCCTTTTCGACACACACAATGTTTTCATTTTTCGGCTATCCTCCGAATAACGGGCACAAAAGATGGCGGCCACAAACAGGGCCTCAGTCGCGTGTCAATTGAGCACTTCCGCCGAGAGTATCCCGCACGCCGCGTGTATTGGGGCTAAACTAGATGGCTAGGACTCACGAGAAAAGCTGCAGGAGATGCGGAAGCTGCTGCTCGTTGAGTCCCAGTCATCTAGTTTAGCCCCAATCCACGCCGTGTGGGGGATACTGTCGGCGGTGGCGGTAGTCGCCGGAAAACCGCAAATTAGGTCGCCGGAAGTGCGCAATTGACACGTGATTGAGGCTCTGTTATAGTGTTTTTGCGGCCGCCATCTTTTGTGCTTATTATTCGGAGGACAACCCATTTTTCTTTCCCTGTATTTATTGTCCCAATATTGTTTTTGTCTATGTAATCAGGTCATTGCAGTACCAATTTCATAGCAAATGGGTCACCCCACAGTTGCCCCAAACGAAAACCACACAGACTTTTCATCAATGTCCCATGTGGAAAAATTGAGAGACTGCATTCTCAGCACGTACAATAGCACACTGTATGCACGTGTATATGTATTGTCTGTAAGTGTGCATGAGTTATTTATGTCACACTGCGTAGCAATATCTGTCTTTTTCTGCACTGTTTGCTTCATTTGCTGTCTGGTAATGACACATTGCTCAAATGTATTTCTCTGTCAAACTGTGTATGTGTCTGTATGCCTGCATGCATGGTACACTGCACATAAAAAGCAAGCCTGTGCTATACAAGAACAGCACAATTCAATACAAGATGAGATGAAGACAAGAAACGTCACCGCGAATATAGCGGACAGGGCACAGAGCAGCAATGTTTTATGTCCCTTAGCTGACAATAGTCACAGTTAAATGATTGATTCATTGATATAAAAGAAATTGAGCAGTATGCAAAATATGCCTGGCAATAAAGTGTGCAATATATCGTTTGTGTCTTCTTTGTTCAATCGCACGATATGTTCCCGACTATTTCCCCACATGTAGAAAACATCACATCAAGTGTCTTCTTATATTTAAGTTTTTGTCGGTGTGTACTAAATAAATAGGACACCCATAGTGGCATCGTTCATTAATTTTTCATACCTATGATACTGCAAGTGGTTAGAATTTTCCTAGGAATATTTATTGAAAACAATTATTATTTTTGTACAAAACCTTATAGGACTTCTTGAAGTCCATGCCTTGTAAGATTGACATACATGTCTATCCACAACCTTCTGTTTCGTGTAGTTTGAATCAACTCTGACACAGATGATCCTCTATGCCATGATGTCAAACTGTCCAGTATTTTTTTTCTCAGTCTCCCTCTGCCTCTCCTCCCCTCCAAACTTCCTACTGTTTCTCCTTCTCATCACATGACCATCTGATGTGGGCAGTCAGTTTTCTTCGGGAGTCAGTTTGTTTCAAGACATCTTCATTACTTCTTTTTATCTGTCCAGGGTATTCTCCTCATTTGTCCACAACTACACAGCTTCAGATAAGTATTTGCTAATTTACCAACTGTCCACTATTCACTTCTGTATCTTCTTCTTTCACCGCCTGTAAGGTCTGGCGGAATCCCTCGTTGTTGGTCCACTAGATGGTTTTGGGCCAGGACCTGAGTTTTGCGTGTAAATCCATTTTACTGACTTATTTGTGTGCTGTTGGTTGTTCCTTGCCACTCAGGCAGACGTACTCCGACTTCGAAGAACGTCCCCAATAAGTCGACTCCTACAACATGCCTGTTGGGAAGGCAGTGGGTCTATTCTTGTTTTCACCCACAATATGGTCCTGGAACCCGCATGGGGAACTTCTGTATATCAAGATAGGATTTATAAAGCTTTTAAGAGTTCTCTTTCTCCTCTTTTTATCGTTGGCCAAAGCTCTCTGGTTCACATGATCTAAAACAGATGGCACAATATATTCTGGGAAGTAAAGGGGACAGGCATAAAATTCGTCTACCATTCACCGAGCGTTGTTTGGTCTCCATAAATATGAGACTGGCATATTCTGTCACGCTTGTGTTCTCAGCACTCTGCTTTCTGGCAGTGAAACTTGGTCAACTTATTCGCACCAGGAGAGATGGCTAAATAGCTTTCACATGCAATGCCAAAGAAGAATACTTGGCATTAAGTGGCAGGACAAAATCACAAACACTGAGGTACTTAGTTAGTCGTTACAGTGCCGGCATCACAGCAAACGAGCTTGGCCCATAATTGCTCAACCGCCTATGCCAGTGATTTCAGTCACAAACTGAGTCAGATACACTGGATACTTCAAGTGAATGCCATAGCCATTTAAAGTGTCTTCAGTCAGCAAAACACAAATGATTTGACCTGGCAAACCATAAGGTGCATGCCTCCTTAAATGACACTGCGAGACCAGGCGTCATCACTGAAAATCAACTTCATTAGAAGTTGCAGCCACGGCCAGCAAATAAATAGCAGCTATAGCACACGCCTTGTCCCAGGAATATAACAGGAACTGAGGTACTGGAAAGAGCAGGCATTACAACAGTCTTTTCAATGCTCAGTCTACGAAGGCTCAGGTGGCTGGGTCACACCTGCAGAATGGATGATGGCAAAGTCCCTAAGGCTATCCTCTATGGTGAATTAAATACGGATAGAAGATGTCGGAACCCGACAACGATATAAAGATGTGCACAAACAGGACATGAATGATACATGTACTCAGGTGGACATGGAAACAGAATGCTATGGACCATGTTGTGTGGAGGAAGCACATCAGGAAGGGAACGAAAATGAAGGAAAAAATGACTGCAGAAAAGATGAGAGCTGAACATGTGAGAAGAAACAGACTAAATACATGTGTTGACAACAGTGGTCCTGAAATCCCATGCTATAATTGTGAAAGACTTTTCTCAATGCGGGCGGGTCTTGCTAGTCACACTCGCCATCGCCATGGGATGCAAGTCCCATGCCTCCTGATAGCACAATATAAGACAATCGTCTGGAGAGATGGAAAGGTGCCAGTCAATTAGTATGAAATACTCTGGCAGCGCGGCAGCACAGCGAATGGACGTTTGCCTGTTGGCAAAATCAAAGTTAAGAGGATCGACTTAATTGCATCAAGTTTTTATCCAATTTAGTTTGGTCTCTTTCCGCAGAACAACCACATTCTGCTGATACTGTTGCACAAAGAACGACCTCCAATGCTTGGTGGCAGTGCACACAGATCCTCATACAAACAAGGCCTCTGTGAAACACACACGACCTTTAGAGCGTGAGGCAAATGGCTTGGCTACTTTGCCACAGAGACGTTATTTTCTAGGACATCCGTTTTTTACACCAAATGTTAAAATGTTATGATTTAGACACAATTCTTTAAAGAGCAAAAGTTGAGATGATTTGGCCATCTGGTAAGAATGCCCTAACACTAGCTACCACTGACAGCCGCGCTGAAGAAATATAAGGAACACACAGCACCAAAATATGGAATGACGGCACCAAGAACAACCTTAAAGAAATCAGGTTAAATTACATGATGCACTAGAAACAGCATACAGAAGTGCATGATGCACTAGAAACAGCATACAGAAGTACATGATGCACTAGAAACAGAATACAGAATTACATGATGCATTAGAAACAGCAAACAGAAGTACATGATGCATTAGAAACAGCATACAGAAGTACATGATGCATTAGAAACAGCATACAGAAGTACATGATGCATTAGAAACAGCATACAGAAGTACATGATGCATTAGAAACAGCATACAGAAGTGCATGATGCACTAGAAACAGCATACAGAAGTACATGATGCACTAGAAACAGCATACAGAAGTACATGATGCACTGGAAACAGCATACAGAAGTACTTGATGCACTAGAAACAGCATACATTAAGTACATGATGCACTAGAAACAGCATACAGAAGTACATGATGCATTATTGACAGCTGTTCTATTTGTTGACTCCATTGTTTGACAGCTGTTCTATTTGTTGTTTGTTTCATGTGTTGATGTTGCATTTTTGACAGCTGTTCTATTTGTTGATGTTGACAGCTGTTCTATTTGTTGATGTTGCCAGCTGTTCTATTTGTTGATGTTGACATCTGTTCTATTTGTTGATGTTGACAGCTGTTCTATTTGTTGATAGCTGTTCTATTTGTTGATGTTGACAGCTGTTCTATTTGTTGATGTTGACAGCTGTTCTATTTATTGATGTTGACAGCTGTTCTATTTGTTGCTCTTGACAGCTGTTCTGTTTGTTCATTTTGGCATCTTTTCAATTTGGTCAAACAGCTCTTGTATTTTTTCATTTGAACATTTCTAAAGTTGTTTTATTTTTTATTCCAACAGTTGTTTTATTTGTTCATTTGGAAAATTTTTGCATTGTATGCACACGATCACAGCTATGCCTTAATCATCATGTAGCAGGTCCTTTGCAGAACGTCGCTCTCATCACCGTCTGCCTGAAAGAAACTCGGTCTCTCGCCAGTTCTCCCACCTCATGAACTTTCACACCCAAGGAGTCACTTATATCCTGTGCCCATCTTCGTGTCGGTCGGCCCCTGCCCCTCCTTCCTGGAACCATGCCTTCTGCTATAATTTTTTTCCAATCCAAAAATATTTCAGCTTTTGAAAAAGAATGCTGTTTATTAGCCAATCTTCCTTGATGTTCAGATCTTTTAAGATGTCAATATTTCTCATCTTCTTTGTCCAAGATATTCTGAGAATCCTTCTATAGCATTTCAGCTCAAAAGCCCCTATTCTCTTTCTTAAGGACTGAGAGATAGTCCACGACTCACATCCGTATGTAGCCACAGGGAAGATGCATGCTCTCAAAATTCTAATTTTGATCTTCTTGCTGGTGCTTAACCATTGACTTTCAAGGCTGTTCAATCTTTGCATTGCTATGGTCATCCTCCTTTTAATTTCTTTCAAACAGTCTCCATTGTTGTTTATTATACAGCTTAGATATTCAAAGTTTGTGACATTTTCAATTTCTGTATCATTTATTGTTATTTTTGTGTGACAGCCAGTTTTATCTGGGGACATTATTTTCGTTTTCTTTAAATTCAAGAACAGACTTTGATCTTCACTGTGCTTTTGGACAGACAATATTAAATTTTCTATTCCCTTTACGCTGTTCAAAAGGAGGATTGTGTCATCTGCGTAGCGGAGTTCCGGAATGGGGTTGCCACTAATTTTGAGTGGATCATAACTGTCACAAGTCTAGTCATTTTAGACATTTCTCATTATATTTTCTGCGTATATATTGAATAGGTATGGTGAGAGAATGCACCCCTGCCTCACCCCCTTTTGCACCTCGAACCAACCAGATGTTTCACCAGCTGCTCTGATGGCTGCTTGTTTTATGCCTTAATAGCGTAAATAAATTCTGCGCGTACTGACAAAACTAAATAACACATACAAATAATTCTCAATGATTGACATTATAACCACATGTTTATTACAATTCTTCGCAAATTTTCATCACCATAAACACATACTGACTGATTTAAACAAATCTTTAGAAACTATTATTAAATATATATATAAATGATAAAACAAATGTGAACTATTGATGAGAAATTGAAATAAATGATTGCAGACATATTCAACATTTGTATTATACATACAGGATGTAAACATACAGCAGTCTCAAAGAAGAAGACATTGTGCTTGAGATTGGAAGTCATGAATGACTGAATAAAGACAATATCACTACACTCAGGACATCCCCACACGTGCTCTGTCCCTATCCTCAGCAACCGGAGATTCCGCAGTGATGATGCCAGCAACCAGATTATATGTCTTCCAGTCCCCCCCCCCCTTTTTGCACTGACAATCAACCAAACCCTCTGCTCAGAACCAGCAGAGCCGGTCTCGGTAGACATGAATACTATTTCTGATCTGCTACAATCCTAGACAGCCTTCACAACAGAAAGAAGCTAACTACAAAGAGAAGAACCAGCCGAGCCGGTCTCGGTAGACATGAATACTATTTCTGATCTGCTACACTGCTACAATCCTAGACAGCCTTCACAACAGAAAGTAGCTAACTACAAAGAGAAGAACCAGCCGAGCCGGTCTCGGTAGACATGAATACTATCTCTGATCTGCTACACTGCTACAATCCTAGACAGCCTTCACAACAGAAAGTAGCTAACTAACAAGAGAAGCAGCAGCAGCTAATCTTCAATCTACAACTTACTCAGCACACCTGAATATCTCAGGTAAAACTAGTGTTTGTTCCCATGTGGATGTCAGCGCCCTAGCAAGCAGGCTGTCAAAGGCAACTAATAAGAGTTTGCTGAAATCAGATGTGTTGAGCCAAAAGGCAAACATATCACAGGCTAGCTGTAAACAGCAACACATTGTGCTGACCACTCTTTTAAAGGCAAACATAAAAGAAGAGCTAGTGTTTATATCACCTGTCCTCAGTATTCTGTTTATTCTCGTTTCTTATTTGTCTACCTCTTCCTTCTTATCCGTAAGTCATTTTCCATTGACATAGAATGATAAAAGCTCCCCATGTGGGGTCCAGAGCACTACAGGGAGCCCTGAAACCCACATTTGGAGGGGGGGGGGGAGGTAGGGGGACACTCCCAATACCTCCCTAACAAGCATATCATACAACGCGACTTCGTTCAAAGTCGGAGTGCACCTGCCTGAGAGACAAAGAAACAAGTCTGTACACAAATAAGCCACATCTGTTAAAAAAACAAAAGACATGCATGCAAAACTCAAATTCTGAAGAAAAAAAAAAAGTCCAGAAGTGGTTGAACAAACAGTACTTTCTGCTGGAGTTACAACTGATGAACACAAAGAAAGACAAAAGCCAGTGCTAGCAATCATGTGCTGACCCACCAACTTTTCCTCACCAAAACACATGATAGCAAAAGTGGAAGATAATGACCATGATACAATGTCATTGAAAGACTCCAGGGTAGTGCCTCTAAAGCAACAAGTAACTGCCTTATTATAAACTGTGGAAGTTCAGGGAGTCCTCCACAAACTGGGTGTCCAGGCTTGTGTCCAGTGTCATCCCATGACATGAGGTCACTCCTTCCATGTCTTCCATCATCTCTGGGTTTGGAGGGTCATCCTGAAACAGTAAGAGGTCATCAACTGAGCGAATCGTATCAGCAGAGGTCACCAACTGAGCCAATCATATCAGCAGAGGTCACCAACTGAGCCAATCATATCAGCAGAGGTCATCAACTGAGCGAATCGTATCAGCAGAGGTCACCAACTGAGCCAATCATATCAGCAGAGGTCACCAACTGAGCCAATCATATCAGCAGAGGTCACCAACTGAGCCAATCATATCAGCAGAGGTCACCAACTGAGCCAATCATATCAGCAGAGGTCATCAACTGAGCGAATCGTATCAGCAGAGGTCACCAACTGAGCCAATCATATCAGCAGAGGTCACCAACTGAGCCAATCATATAAGCGGAGGTCATCAACTAAGCCAATCATATCAGTGGTCACCACAATTCTACTAATTACATAAAAGGTTATCAAGTCACCCAAACAATTGGGCATATCATCAATTAATTAAACAAAAGTCACTTCTTCTTCTCTTCCACCTTGTACCTCAGCGAAGTGTCAGGGGGGAGATGTAACATACGTTGATAAGCTCTGTCAAGAGCACTATTAAGACTGATGTCCATTTCTGTGAGGCTGTTCTTAATGCCATCACTCCATCTTTTCCGAGGACTTCCACTCACTCTATACCCATTGTAATGTTTTAGCGTGGCTCGCTGTGGAAGATAGCACCAGGGCATTCTTGGTGGGCGTCCAAACCACTTCATTTATTGTTCTTTGATGACCTGTAGGCTGGCCTTATTCCTAGCATTCGTCTGATTTCGTATTCTGTCTCTCCTTGAAACTCCTGCAGCTCTTCTAAGGCATTTCATCTCTGTTGTCACAATTTTCCGTTCATTTGAGGATGTAAGTGTTTATGTTTGGAAATGATAGCAAAGTGTTGGACCAAAAAAAAGTTCTTATAAGATTCACTTTAGTACTCCAGGGGTCTTGCGTCAACAGGAGATAGTTGCCCTATTACTTGATTAGCTTTGGCACATCTCAAGCTAATTTCTCTGTCCAGTTTTCCGTCAGATGTGAAAACTATTCCTAAATACTTGAATTCCTCTGTTTGTCTTAAGGTGTTTTTTTAATTTTAATTCTAAATTGTCTTTCTGTCTTCCTATCACCAATGTCTCTGTCTTTGTAGTGTTTATTTTTATATTATTTTCCTCCCCTTTGTTACTAATTTGATTTAGGTGGTTCTGTAAGCATTCCGTACTTTTTGCTATGAGTACCTGGCCATTGGCGAATAGTAATTCTGTAATAAAAAAGTCACTAATTGAGCCAATTAAAAACAATTTATTTTAACAAAAGGTCACAAATTAGCCAATCAGATAAAGGGGCACATGATCAATTAATTGAACAACAGGTCAATTAATTGAACAACAGATCAATTAATTGAACAACAGATCAATTAATTGAACAACAGGTCAATAACTCAGCCAATCAGATAAATATTAATAAAAACAATTAAAACTTCATCAACTCAGCCAATCAGATATATGTTGATAACAATTACCTAATGACACCAACAGACAAACTGTTATAAAGTTAAACATACAACCATGTGTGGGTTCCAGGACCCGACAAAATAGACCCACTGCTCCCTACAGCATGTTGTAAAATGCAACTAATTAGAGATTTGCTGATATCAGATGTGATGGGCCAAAAGCTGTAGATATCACAGCCTGGTTGTAAACCACAATCTGCCAACTGCCTTTTAAGTGGAAATACTCAAGAAGAAGAAGAAGAAGAAGAAAAAGAAGCAAAAGAAAATTAGAAACAGAAGAAGATGAAGACGGAGGATGAGGAGAAGAAGAAGAAGAAAAAGAAGAAGAAGAAGATGGAGGAGGAGAATATGAAAATATGTATATTAGAAAAAAAAGGTAATCAACTCAGCCAATCAGACCAAAGGTCATTAGGTCAGCTCACTATACAATGATCACCAAATCAGCCAGTGAGATTCTAAAGCACATCTTCAGTAGCAGGTGCAGACAGAATGAAGCCATAGACACGCTGCATTGTATGAGCCCCTTCTGTTTTTCCACATGATCATGTTCCACTGTGCTGCAGAGGCATGGGAATGGCAACCCATAGCAATAATGATGATGCCCAGGAATAAAGGTACTCTTCTCCACAGCTCACAGCTTGGGCAGTATAGTACAGACCTCGTATTGCCCAGGCAGCATGATCCATCGCTCAGCCTGCTTTGTTAACTCCAAGGGAAACCCACAAGGTAGACATGCACTCACCTGCAGCAGCTGAGTCTGCCTGTATGTCATGCCAGTCTCAGGGTCTCTAATGAACAAATCTGTCATGAAGGAATCCGCTGTCGAGCCAGATGAAGAGTCGGAAATTCCTTCAGCTTGCAGCTCCATGACAGGGATTTCTGCAACAGAGGTCAATGATGTGTCAATGACATATAACAGACAGTAGGTAAGACAAGAAGAAGGCTGTGGACATGATGATTACAAACACTACACAGTGATGGTATAGACCAACCAGCACTCAGAAAGTGATGTGGTCAACATCACACTTGCCACTTTTACTTTCCAGCACCCATTTTAGGCTGGGCGACCTGGCAGTCAACATCATGTTTTGAAAGACATATGATTTGCCTCCATGCGAATTTGAACCCATTAACTTCATATCCATAGGCAAGCAACTAGCTGCTTTACCACAGCAGCTCTCAATTTATTAGTTACCGTTTTTTTTTTTCAAAGGAATTTTTAAAGAAACTTCCATGGGTTCATACCCATTTTTGTTTTTAGCATTGGCAGGGCAAAAAGCTTAGTTAGTTAGTCGACAGATTATCTTCACTGCACATCAAACCATTCTGGTCTAACTTATACAACATTAGAAAGAGCATATAAAAGATCCTTACATTTCCAACTCCCAACACTATCGAGAGAGATCCTTACACTATGACTTTCATCCCCAATATTCATGTCTTTATTGCCTTCTAACTTGCCACTTTGAATCGCCAGGGAGATGCAGAATTATAGCGTGCACACATGCCCAAAATACTTCAATATCCCAATCAAAATAAAGAATTGACATAATCTATTGTGAACATCTTCACATCTACACTGTCCCTTCTTCTTTTTAAAGTCCGTGCTATATGGAGTTGATAGTTACGTCTATTCACAAGCTCCTGTCTCACGTACTTTCAAACAACTCTGAAACAGAAGATCTTCCCTGCAATGATGGCAAATTATCCAGCATCTTCTTTCTCTCACCCCCCCCCCCTCTCTTTTCTCCTCCAACTTTCCAATCGTCACGATGCACTCCCGTTTTACTCTTCTCATGACTTGACCAAATAATGTAGATTGTCTCATGTGGGCAAGCAGTTTTCTTCAGGAGCCAATTTCTTTTTTTTTTTCAAATCTGTCTAGGGTATTCTCATTATTTATCTATAAAACAATTAACAGAAAAAGGCCAAATTATTATTCACACTAGTGACACACTGGCAATATGGTATTGTTAAAGACCAGCTGGTGCATGAAACTATTTTCTGGTTCACATTTTAGGTGGGATTCACCTGGTAGCCACGTTCATTAATTTTTTTAAAGATCAGACTGATTTCAACCAAGACCCCCATGTGGGTTCCGGGGCCCCATCGTGAGGTGAAAACAAGAACAGACCCATTGCATCCCCAAGCACATCGCAGGAGTTGACTAACTGGGGGCAACCTTCGAAGTCCAAGTACATGTGCCTGAGAGCCAAGGTACCTAGAATCTGTATACAACAAATAAGCCATATGTGTGAAACGTGTGTGCATGCAACACTCAGGTTCTGGAACAAGGCTAATATCCGGAGGTGTACGAACACCCAGAAATTTCCAGCCAGTGAATGCAAAAAAGAAGAAGAAGAAGAACCTGAGACATCCAGGCTAAAAGAGGAAGCTTCTAGCCATTGCACTACCACGGCTCAATGAATTAAGAGCAGCCGAGATAAAAAAAAACCTCACCTGTGTCATGTCGACCAGGCACTATCACAGTCTGAATCAGATGATGTCCGGCCAGGGAGACGTTGTTGGAGACAATGTCCTTGTAGTCGCCTTCCGCGTCCAGGACAAGCTGACATGAAGTGCTCGATGCTGTTGGTGCATTCAGTCTGACTCTTAACTTTGCTGCTTCAATCTCTTTCTGCTTCTGCCATCTGTGAAACATTCATATACGACCTCAGATAAACACATACAAGCTATCTCCCAAACTCTCATCTTACGTCGCTGTATTTAAATCTCTGGGATGCCAAATAAAGGTCTCAGTTGAGCGACTCAAGGCAGCCACCGTGGTGAAGTGGCTAGACCCTCTCCTGTTGATTGGAAGGTCATGGGTTCAGGTCTGGATGGAGCCGGAATGTTTACAAAAATCACTTTAGCTCCCAGGTCAACCCAGCCTTAAATGGGTACCAGTTATAAAGACCTTGGAAGTAAAGGCTGCCAACATCATGCTAACTGCATCACCCATCATGTGCTGAATGATCTATATAATATAGGTCTAGCCCTATATGCCCAAAAGGCCTTAAGATACTATAAAGGGTTCCTTTACTAATGACCCAAAGAGTCACATTTTAGATACATTCTTCTTCTGTGTCCGCCTTTGAAAGGACAGCTGGCGTGCTGTGTTGTGGTTTACAGCTGGGCCCTGTCAGCCTAACACATCAGATTTCAGTAAAATTCACATCAGTCACCTCCTGAACTTTTTGAGTCCCAAGGACCATATCACACATTTATAGCTTCCTACCTAGAAGCCCAATGAACACAAGATGCGCTGACATGGGCACCTGTAAATAATACTTGTGATAATCAAAAGCCAACAGTAACTAACAAGCTTTTAGAAAACTAGATGTAAGCAGTGTGTGGCACAGTACTGGCCTGTGGCCGACCTTACCGTTTGAGAGATCGAAGGCTGATGATATCATTACTCCTGGGGTCTGTACGAGCGGAGCCCAGCATGTTCTCCAGGACAATCTGGCTTTTCTTGCCTCGCTCCACGGCTTCAAATGACAACCTTTCCTGTTGCTGGAGAAGCAAATTACAGCAGGTTCATGTCAAATACTGCAAACATGCAGACAGCACAATCTTATAGGAATGAATGAATCAAGAATTGACACTGCGGCACTCAGGACATTCCCACATGTGGTCCGTTTCCTTCTGCAGTAGCTAATAAAGAGTAGATATGCTAATAGTACCTGTTGCATCCTGATGAAAAGTCCACCTGTGTTCTGCCACCACTGTTGAAAATCTTCTAGTCCAATTGCTGAATGAGTCTATCAATCAATATATGGATACTTGGTCTGTTGTGCTGCACTGTCAACTTGATAGCCTTTGGTTTCACCATCAGAGGAGCGGCATCAGCCAATCTTTCTGCTTGCTAGTTACCCCGCACACCCAAATATCCTGTACAAACAACGATATGCTCCTGATCAGAGTCTCCTAGCAATGTGTGAGGCAATTAGGTGTCCACTGACAGGTCAATTATAATTATCAATGACAGTAATGACAGTGAAGTGGACATGACAGCAGAGCTCTCAGTGTGGTTTAATCTAATTGTTGTTTTCAGGGCAAGATTGAGGATTTGTACTGTCTTTTAAATGTTTGGTTTAAGTGTTTCACTTTCTTGGGAAAGAGAGGAAGACAGAGACAAACAGTCAGAAAGAGAGAGAAGAGACAGAACGAGAAAGAAGAGACAGAAATAAGTAAAGAAAGAAAGAAAGAAAGAAAGAAAGAAAGAAAGAAAGAAAGAAAGAAAGAAAGAGTGACACAAGGACAAGCAAAGAAATAGGTAAACAGATTTGAGAGACAGAGAAAAAAGTGAAAGACACACAAAGATAGAAAAGAAGAGTTAAAGACAGAGAGGGGGAGAGAGAGAGAGAGAGAGAGAGAGAGAGAGAGAGAGAGAGAGAGAGAGAGAGAGAGAGAGAGAGAGAGAGAGAGAGAGAGAGAGAGAGAGAGAGAGAGAGAGAGAGAGAGAGAGAGAGAGAGAGAGAGAGAGAGAGAGAGAGAGAGAGAGAGAGAGAGAGAGAGAGAGAGAGAGAGAGAGAGAGAGAGAGAGAGAGAGAGAGAGAGAGAGAGAGAGAGAGAGAGAGAGAGAGAGAGAGAGAGAGAGAGAGAGAGAGAGAGAGAGAGGACTGGCCAAGAAAAGACAAGACAGAAAGAAACAAAGACAAGAGAGGGAGAGAGAAAAACATGTCTGTAATTTGACCAATGCAAGGTTAACCCTTTGGAGACGGGGCCTTTTTGGAGTTTTGGTGCCAAGAAGACGTAGCCATCAGGAGGGGATTCTCATAGTTTATACACACAAAATTATAAAAAATAAAGCGTTTAATTAACATATACAAAACTATATATATTCTTGTAGGAAATAGAATGAACTAACAGAATATTTATGAATCAAATTGAAATCTCAACATTTATTTAAATTAACTATTCTGATCTGCATAATTTATGCAAGCAATTTTTCAAAAACTTAAGGACAAAAATAAATAACCTGAAAATTTTTTGTGATTTTGTTTATGAATGAAACTTTAAGTCCTAACACCTGTATTTTGGGAAGTAAGGCCCTTGGAGGCCCTTTAAACACGTCTGGCACATGGTTCTACTAATTTTCCTGCCCCCAGCCATGTTCAGTTGCTATGATGCAACAGTCTTTTTCACCATTTTTGGGCACAGGTAACCCCAGAAAAAAAACAATGTAAAATTACAGAACACAACAAATTTTCTTGAAAGCCGCCAATGAACAGCCCACATGTGCAAGAAATGCGAGAAGCAGTCTGATTGGCTAGTACGAAAACCTGCCAGTCAATATCAAGGCTTCTATTATATAGGGCCGGCCGAACGGCCCAGTCGTACTTTTGGCTACTTTGTGTTGGCCCGATATTTTGGGCGCGTCATCTCCAAAAGGTTAATATACATTTCTGTAGCTTGTAAAGCTGTTTTAGTGGTTGGAGATGAATTCTGTCCCTATAACATAGTTGTAGGTTAAAGCTGTATGACAGACATGGCTAATGAAAACAACTTTTTAGGGGTGACTAGTCGCTCATGCATCTAGTACACTTGTTCCTACAGCGAGGCACTTTTATCATCTGGAGGTGACAGGTTCCATATCTGGCATAGTAAACTATGGCTTTTGATTTTCATGTTGTCTAGTGTGTCCTTTTATTTTTCTACTTCTTTCTGCGAGTTTCAATCAATGCATGTCTATCTGTTCAATGCATACATACATACATGTGCATACACACACATATGTACATGTACAAACATACTTTAATTAATGATGATGATGACTGCGAAACACAATGTCCATACCTGAAGGATTTCACTAGCTTCCAGCAGTCGCTGATCCACTGAGTCATCAATAAACATATGCTGCTGCTGCTGTGGCTGCTGCAGAGGATGGGATGAAATGTCCGTGGCTGCTACCGCCAATGGAGGAGCAACATCAGGAGAAGCTAGTGTGACACCTGGGCCAGTGGACACCATAAGCTGTGACATGAGGCCGGAGCAGCTTTGGTGATCCGGGAGAGTCTCGCTTGAGGAGTTCAACAAGGTCTGGTCTGTCATGCCGAGAAAATGTGTTGTTTAAATTATGATATATGTTTAACTACCTGGGTACCCTGATCACATCAGATGGAAGATGTATTAAAGAAGTTAAATGTAAGATAGCTCAAGCAAAGGTAGCATTTTACAAAATAAAGAATATTTTATGCAACATTTCTTTGTCAAATACTGAGACGAGAAAGATAATTTTTAAAAGCTACACAAATCCTATCTTGATATAAGGAAGTGAATCATGGACAGTTAGTAGAACAGGAGAAAATTATTTGGAAGCTGCAGAGATTTGGTTTTATAGATGAATGATGAGAATACCCTGGGCAGATAAAAAGAGTAATGAAGACGTCTTGAAACAAATTGACTCCTGAAGAGAACTGACTGTCCATATCAGAAAGAGACAATCTACATTCTTTGGTCATGTGATGAGTACGAGAAAATTGGATTGCATTGCGATAGGAAAGATAGAGGGAAGGAGAGGCAGAGGAAGACCGAGAGAACAGATGCTGGACAGTTTGACATCATGGCATCAAGGATTATCTGTGTCAAAGCTGATTGAAAGTACATGACACAGACGGTTGTGGATAGACATAACTATCAACACCACAGACTTTAAGAAGAAGAACTTATACAGTGGTACCGCCGTAGACCTTCAAACTGGTATGGGTTCTGTTCAGACGCACAAACTTGCTTGATATATGACCCTTGTTTGGAATATTAACTTGTATGAGTCAAAATTAGTCAAGGCACTGAGTGCTATCTTTGTTGACCTCTCTGGAGACGAAGCCATGGATTGATGTCAATGCTGAGTAGCTCCCCAACAAAACATTATCTGGAATGACTAGACATTTCCGAAACATCCGGAAGAGATGGCAGAAGCGAAATTCTTTAGACAGATTTTTAGTAAAGCCAAACCTGATGAGACTCAACCAGGTCTAAGTGGTGAAAAGAAACAGGGGAAAAAAAAAGAAAGGGAAAAAAACAAGGGAATTTCAGCTTCATGAAGTTCTATTGGACAGAAACTTTCCTTCCAAACAATAACATCTCCTTCTCCTCTGGTGTCAGCACCATCCTAGTAGGCACTCGACTCTTCCCAGGAAGGTAAAGTGAGGTTGAAATTTCATCACATTTTTTTTGTAATTATGTATTTCAGCACCAGACAGTCCAGGCAAATCTGCAAACACTTGGTGTTATCAAGTGAAAAGAGAAGGCCAGCCAGAGAGATGAATGGAGGCGGTTGAAATCTGTCTGCAGCAATAAACCTCAAGGGCTAGGAATGCTGAAGAAAAAGAAAAAGTACCAGACAGTGTACACATTATTTTATACAACCCATCAATGAATGATATGCCATTAACAATAGGATGATCTTCTGAGGGCGGGGGGTGGGGATTATGGCAACATGTTAATCATTTTTCCTTAATTTCTTATATGAAAATTTGTTTGGTATACGTCCAAGGTTCAGAAATGGATTAAGCAGTATATAGACACACCACTAAAAATTAAAGGTAAAGTCAGGAGATGTGAACCAGCGTCATTGCACACGGTTATAAACCATAAGTGCTCTGCCACCAGTACAGACAGCTGATAAGAAACTATCCGCCTGTGTCGCCGTCCGCACGTAACTCTGTAGCTACAGCGACATTCCTCCATTTACCCCAGTGTTAACTCTGGTACCCATTTCCCAGAGGTTGGGTGAACCCTGGGAACTGCCCGGTTCCGAACACCGACCGTGGCTGCAGCGAGTCGCAGCTGGATTTGAAAGCGAGCCTCCTATCGACTGCGCTAACATGGCTCCCACTGTGCATACATGAACAGTCAGCAATGATCACATAAGAAAAAACCAGTAAGCAGTAGCTTGTCTCTCAGTGATATCCCAAATATGTTTTTTTTTTAAAGCAATAAATTTATAACGAAAACATGAAATTTACCTCCCGTAAGAAAATCTGTGGGCATCATAGGATCTTGACCTGGCGTCATAGGATCCTGACCTGGCGTCATAGGATCCTGACCTGGCGTCATAGATGTCTGGCACAATCCTGCAGTAGAATACACTGTAACAATAAACAATGTTTTTTCATCTATTTCTTCTGCTGTTAAACTCCCAAGGAAGCTTAGGCCCAACCAACTCCCGAATGGGGATCCCCATGATGTCGTTCGTGGTCAAGTCTCACACGTTCCTGTAGGTAGCCGGCTTTCTTGACTATATTATCTTGCTTCGCTTGATAAGACTGATCAGAAGCATATCAGGGATTTCCTGTACAAGACAATTTTGCAGAGACAGAGACCAAGCCAGACTGGATCAAACATGGAGCAACGAAGCTCATCCTCATGACTTGAACTCTGAGCCCTACGTAATCTTGCTAACAATTTGATTAATTCTGCCGCCCAGTGTGAGTTCCTGGGTTCCATTTTGGGGTACAAGTACAAACTTCCTGCTGTCTAACAAGCATGTGGGACGTGACGATTCCTTGGGTGAGCCTAGGACCAGAGCACATGTCGGATGTGACGACTCCTTGGGTGAGCCCAGAACCAGAGCATATGTGGGACGTGACGATTCCTTGGGTGAGCCCAGGACCAGAGCACATGTGGGACATGACGATTCCTTGGGTGAGCCCAGGACCAGAGCACATGTGGGACGTGACGATTCCTTGGGTGAGCCCAGGACCAGAGCGTCATGTCCTTGGATAATCAGAAATGCCAACTATCTGCCCCTGCTTTCCCTTGAGGGCCGGCCAGTCTTCACAAAGTTGCTCTGGAGGAAATTTCCAAGGGCAACACCCGAAGATAAAGGGACAAAGAGGACACTACACAAATAAGGCTCTGTCTTGTTCATGAAACTATCTGAGAAGCTAACCTGGTCAACAAATGCCCCATGACGTGGCATGTGCTGACTGAAAGGCAAAAATATCGCAGCTATGCTGTAAATAGGCACAACACAATTACGTCACTCGTACGAAAAGAAGAAGCGATAACAAGCTTGTCATAAACGTCAATTAATAAGGAATGCTTCTATCAAAGTTGGAGTGCATATACCCCAGAAGGAAGGAACCAACAGTCTGAATACAAATAAGTCAGATCTGAAAAAAAAAAGATGTGCATGCAAAATTACAGTTCTGGAACAAGATGAAAGTCAAGAAGGGGGGGGGGGTTGACCAGGACAGCCGGTGAATATGAAGAAGATTAATTCTGCAGCTATGTTTCTACAAGATAACATAATCAGTCATATGCCAACCCTATTTCATTAGCTCTGAAGCCTACACATATGTGTTACTTCTACTTCTGTCTTCACTCTTAAAATGGCAGCTGGTATGTTACTTGAAATTTACAAGATGTATATCATTACATGAACTAATATGCTTTACAGATTTAAAAAAAAAACAATTGCTGTGTGAAAGATGAGTGTTAAAAAGGGTCTAGCCAACGCTTTGTGGAAAGTTGGCAAAGGACAGTAGAATTCAGGCAGCAAACAAAGTGCAATTGCAGATTGATTATAAGTGATTGTGGAAAGGAGTAATAATAATAACAATAATAATAATCATCATAAGGACACAGGCAATGAACAACATCTCACCCTCAGCGTAAGACAGACAACTAACAACATCTCACCCTCAGCGTAAGACAGACAATGAACAACATCTCACCCTCAGCGTAAGACAGACAATGAACAACATCTCACCCTCAGCGTAAGACAGACAATGAACAACATCTCACCCTCAGCGTAAGACAGACAATGAACAACATCTCACCCTCAGCGTAAGACAGGCAATGAACAACATCTCACCCTCAGCGTAAGACAGGCAATGAACAACATCTCACCCTCAGCGTAAGACAGACAATGAACAACATCTCACCCTCAGCGTAAGACAGGCAATGAACAACATCTCACCTTCAGCGTAAGACAGACAATGAACAACATCTCACCTTCAGCGTAAGACAGGCCATGAACAACATCTCACCCTCAGCGTAAGACAGACAATGAACAACATCTCACCCTCAGCGTAAGACAGGCAATGAACAACATCTCACCCTCAGTGTAAGACAGGCAATGAACAACATCTCACCCTCAGCGTAAGACAGGCAATGAACAACATCTCACCTTCAGCGTAAGACAGACAATGAACAACATCTCACCTTCAGCGTAAGACTCCTCCTGCCCTAGACTGATGTCGGCGTTGGCATCCCCAGAACTCAGCAGACCCAGCCAGCTGACCACTCCATGGCTACCCTCGGCAGCATCACCTTCTAGACATAGACAGGTAAAAAGTCAAGGTCCCTTTACAAGCCAGTTGCTTCTTCTTCTTCTTTTGTCGCTTAAAATAGATTATCTGTATCTCCAAGGTTGTCTCTAGTATAAACTTCAGTCTTTTGTAATTCACTCAGCGACCCTTAAAATTTGACCTGCACCGATGTTTCTCTCGGCCAAAAGTTTTGCCGTGATATGTTGTATTTGGGACAGTCTTGGAGGACATGATCTATTGTCTCAAGTGCCAATCCACATGTGCACATGGCTGATTTGCAGATTTTAAATTTTGTGTATATGTGGCTGCGAAGTCGACTGTGTCCTGTTCTAAGTCGTAGAATAATAACTTGCTCTGGTCTGTCCTCCAAATGGTAATTGTCTTGTGCCGGTTTTTGGTGGCAGTTGCACATTAGGCATTGTTCATTTTAGATATCATCTTTATCGCACATCGGACATCAGCTTCAGTGCTCCAATCTCCTCCTAAGTATGTCTCCAAGAGTTTTTAGACTAGCCACTCCCATTTTGTTCTGGGTGACGTAACGACAGGTGGCTCCCCCACGGTTTTTCCTCCAACTGGTACAGCCAGGATATGCTGTCTATTTAGTGAAAAATCATTGTCCACGAAACGGAAAGCCTCACAGGGTTTAGTCTCTCGGATGGCATTAGGTCTATGTGACTAGACTCACATATGGATAGACCAACTGAGGCTTGACGGGTGATGTGGTCAACATCACGAGTGCCTTTACTCTCCAGGACCTGGCCCTTTTCTTCTTCTACCCCCTCAATGGAGCATAGGCCCTTAAACCAACTTACGCCAAGTTGTTCTATTCTTCCCTATTGCAAGCAGTTCCAATCATGTCCTCCCCACCTGTTTAATGTCACTCTCTAGCTCCTCCGTTCTAAATGTATATTATGGGATGCCGTTATTTATTCACCCCTGTGGGTTCCTATAATGTTCTCCAGTTTTCTCAGCATGTGTCCTATTCAATGCCAGCATCTTTTCTTCACCTCTTGGTGAAGTGTTTGCTCACAATGAAGTGTCAGACAGGGACAGGATAATCAGTAGGACTCACTGTATGGCAGACTGCAGTGTTTGCTTACAATGAAGTGTCAGACAGGGACAGGATAATCAGTAGGACTCACTGTGTGGCAGACTGAAGTGTTTTCTTACAATGAAGTGTCAGACAGGGACAGGACAATAGTAGGACTCACTGTGTGGCAGACTGCAGTGTTTGCTTACAATGAAGTGTCAGACAGGGACAGGACAATCAGTAGGACTCATTGTGTGGCAGACTGCAGTGTTTGCTTACAATGAAGTGTCAGACAGGGACAGGACAATCAGTAGGACTCACTGTGTGGCAGGCTGCAGTTTTTGCTTACAATGAAGTGTCAGACAGGGACAGGACAATCAGTAGGACTCATTGTGTGGCAGACTGCAGTGTTTGCTTACAATGAAGTGTCAGACAGGGACAGGACAATCAGTAGGACTCATTGTGTGGCAGGCTGCAGTTTTTGCTTACAATGAAGTGTCAGACAGGGACAGGACAATCAGTAGGACTCACTGTGTGCCATGTTGAAGTGTTTCACCAGGATATGCTGCCGCAGGCTGGCCTTGTTGGCATAATGCTTATCACAATTCTCCATGGGACAGTGGTAGACAATCGTCTTCCCAGACTCATCATGCTTTTTCAGGTGTACGTAAAGGCTGCTCTTGGCAGTGAAGGTGTTGCCACATCCTAGAGTGGAATCAATCATCAGTGTCAGCAGAGTGTTGTATAAGCAACAGCTGTCATGTCAGGACCGCTGCGATATGGTGGACAGTGTCATGTCAGCAACAATTGTCAATTGTGACCGGTCTTCCAGTCAATAGGGAGGATAGGAAGATTGAGTGTGAGTGTTTTTAGTCACGGCAAGTTTTCCTTCTGACAACAGCTGGCCGTTGCATTATCCTCATATGTAGACAGAAAGGAGATAGTTTTGTTGTCCATTTACTGAGCTGAATGCACTGCGCAACACTGAGCTGCAGATTTAATTTGCTCTAGCTTGAAGGCATGATATCCATTTGCAGTTTGGGGGCAGGGTATCCATCTTCAGGTTGGATGCAGGGTATAAATCTCTAGCTTGGAGGCATGGTATCTATCTGCAGCTTGGAGGCAGGGTATCCATCTCTAGCTTGAAGGCAGGGTATCCATCTCTAGCTTGGAGGCAGGGTATCCATCTCTAGCTTGGAGGCATGGTATCCATCTTCAGCTTGGAGGCAAGGTATCCATCTCTAGCTTGGAGGCATAGTATACATCTGCAGCTTTGAGGCATAGTATCCATCTGCAGCTTTGAGGCATAGTATCCATCTGCAGCTTGGAGGCATAGTATCCATCTGCAGCTTGGAGGCATAGTATCCATCTGCAGCTTGGAGGCATAGTAACCATCTTTAGCTTGGAGGCATAGTATCCATCTCTAGCTTGGAGGCATGGTATCCATCTATCCATCTCTAGCTTGGAGGCATGGTATCCATCTCTAGCTTGGAGACATGGTATCCATCTCTAGCTTGGAGGCATGGTATCCATCTCTAGCTTGGAGGCATGGTATCCATCTCCAGCTTGGAGGCAAGGTATCCATCTCTAGCTTGGAGGCATAGTATACATCTGCAGCTTTGAGGCATAGTATCCATCTGCAGCTTTGAGGCATAGTATCCATCTGCAGCTTGGAGGCATAGTATCCATCTGCAGCTTGGAGGCACAGTATCCATCTGCAGCTTGGAGGCATAGTATCCACCTTTAGCTTGGAGGCATAGTATCCATCTCTAGCTTGGAGGCATAGTATCCATCTATCCATCTCTAGCTTGGAGGCATGGTATCCATCTCTAGCTTGGAGACATGGTATCCATCTCTAGCTTGGAGGCATGGTATCCATCTCTAGCTTGGAGGCATGGTATCCATCTCTAGCTTGGAAGCATGGTATCCATCTTCAGCTTGGAGAGAGTGAATTCATATTTAGCTTTGAAATAACGTACCCATCTCTAACCTGAAGGAAGAATTATCCACTTCTATCTTGGAAAAAAATAATAACAGAATACATGGTACCAGGAAAGAGAGGCAGTTGACAACCAGCACGAAGATGGGTACAGGATACAAATGCCATATAGGGTAGGAAAGTACATGAGGTGGGAAAGCGGGTGAGAGACCAAGTTTCTTTTAGGTGTACGTGATAACAGCAACAATCTGCAAAGGACCTGCTACATGATGATGATCTTGACGTTAATGTAGAAATCAGATCCACTGACAAACATAGCTCAATTGATGATAGATGCAGCACAACATAAGCCCTAAGGATGTGGGAGGAAAACCTAATTGAAACAACAACAAAACACAACACTGGTCATGGCAACAAGCAATTACCTTCAACTGGGCAAATAAAAGGCCGGTCACCACTATGGGTGATCAGGTGACCCTTGAGGTGTTCCGATCGATGGAACTGCTTCTTGCACACCTCACAGATCCATTTCCGCAAGCCCGTGTGTTTGGTCTGATGTCGCTTCAGCTTGCTGGCTGTGGCAAAGGCCCAGGTGCAACCCTGGACATAAGAACAGGGAGAATCTTAATGGTACACAAACATCACAGGTGTGGTTTGTATGATACAGCATACAAACATCACTAGCTTGCATGGTACTGCACCCAGACATAATTTGTTTGTATGGTACTTCGCAGCTAATGAAAGTAGATCTCTATATACAACAATACAAAAGAGACAAACACTGTTGTTTGGCCACATAATGAGAAGAAAGACATTGGTAAACATTGCGACAACTGGAAAGTTCAGTGGAAAAAGGGGTAGAGGCAGACCAAGAGAGACGATGCTGGATGGGCTGAAACGATGGCATGGAGGGATATCATCAAGAGAGCTGTTCTAGGCAACCAGGGATCGTGACTTGTGGAGACGTATGAGCACCTACGCCAGCTGGCAAGGCACATGATGATGATGATACTAGTACTTTCCTTAAAATCACTTCTTCTTAACAGCATTTGTTTGTATGTTACTGCACTCAGACACCACGTGTTTGCATGGTACTTCTTCCAAACATCACTGGCTTGTATTACACTGCAATAAGTGCCAAACGTCTATAAATCCCACACCATTTTCTGCTACCCATTTTAGGCTGGGACAACCTGAAGAATTCAAACACATGCAGTTCTGTTTGGGATATAAGTTAATGAATCAAATAAAAAGCTTAACACCAGATCTCCCAAAGGATATACAACCAATCATGCAGTGAATGATCACTAAGTGGTACTCCGAAGCTCACCTGGTAATCACAGGTGAAAGGTTTCTCCCCAGAATGGAGTCGCTCATGCTGCCTCAACCGACACATCTTGGTGAACTCCTTCCCACAGCCAGGCACCTTGCAACGAAGTTCCTCTTGGTTCTGTAGATGCACCTTCATGTGAGAACCCATACACCCAGAGGAAAAAAAGGTTTTCTCACAGCCTGGCTCTGGACATCTGTGAAAGAGAAATGTGAGGTAGATAACATCACTGGGAAAGGGGGGAATCTTCTCACAGCCTGGATCTGGACATCTGTGAAAGAGAAATGTGAGGTAGATAAAACCGGGGGAGGGGGCATCTAATCTTCCCACAGCCTGAAGCAATGCACCTGAAAGGATACAGCAAAATGTCCCCTCATTGCGGGCTTTGGGGTCCCACTGTAGGGGAAGCAAGAATAGACCCACTGCCTAACCAAAAGCATGTTTTAAGAGCCAACTAATTGGGAGCTTCCTTCGAAGTAAAAGTACATCTGCCTAAGAGACAAGAAACCAAAAGTCTGCATACAAATGAGTTATACTTGTGAAACGGATGTGCACACTACACTCAGGTTCTGGATTAGGACTAGAGTATGGAAGTGGACAAACAAGAACTCACTGCCAGAGTTTAGTCTGTGAGCACAAAGAAAAAGAAAGAATTGTGCAATGTATTGTCTGTGTCTGCATTATTTAAATGTACAACAGGAAAACATTGTTTTGAATAAAATTTTTTAAAAATTTTAAATGTTTAAAGGACCCAAACTAATTACTGATTTAAGAATCGACATCATAGCACACCGGGGATACCCACAGATGCTCAGTCTCCCACAGCAAAAGTCTTAAGGTAAAGATGGTAATTGTTCCTGTAGCACACAGATTATACACACGCCATTCTCTTCCTCTAATACGTCTCTCCTTGCTGGATCCACTCCTGATTCCTCTTTCACACATACTACACACATTTCCTTTCATCTAATCTCGTTTGTTCCCTCTCTTCCCCATGTCTATATGCAAGTATATCATCTGCAAAAGTTAGTATCCTTCCAACTTCTGGTGCTTCTAGGCTTGCAATCTTGCTCGTATACATGTTAAAAAGCACAGATCCCTGTGGCAGTCCTGGGGCCAAACTGCATGGTTCTGAGGTCCATGAGCCCAGTCGGAGAGCAACCTGACGTGAATACAGGACAGCTGCAACCCAATTCACCAGCCATGGATTGACCTCCTTCTCCCTCAGTGCAGTCATTAAGATGTCATATCTTACTCTGTTATAAGCATCCTCGAGATTCAGTGCTACCGCCATAGTTTCCTGTCTGTTCTGGAACACTTCATAGACGTCAAACGCAAAAGTAGCCACATTTTCCCATGTGTCCTTTCCAGGCCTGTAGCTTTCCAGACCTCTTGGGAGAAGCTCCCCCTTTCAAAAAATTCTTGCAGCTTTACAGCAACTATCTTCTCAAAGACCTTCCCAAATATGTTTTGTAAGGTGATGATTCTAAAGCCACTGCGCTTTGAATGATCCTTAAAAGGTTTTGGTAGTGGGATTAGATAGCTGTGCACCCAGTCCTGCGGTACTGTTGCTGTCTTAATACTCTGGTTAAAACAGTCAGCCATCTCTGCCAGGTCCACATTGCTTAAAGCCTTTATGTGGCCATACCTGACCTCATCAGGCCCTGGTGAAGTGTCTTTGCCTTTTTAAAAATTTGTTTGATATCTTCCACTTGTATCAGGTCTTCATAATGCATAGTCTTTAAGGTGTCAGCTAACTCCTTTCTTAACTGCATCCCTCATGTCTACATCTTTATGATCTATCTTTCTGAGCAATAAACCTATAAGACTATGGCAGCAATTGATGTAGAGCAGAGAATGCTTTTCACACTATATCAGCACCTGATCCTGTCAGTGGTGGATTATGGCCTGGGACTGCTTACCGTCTCAAAGAGTCAGATGGACAAACTAGAGCGCATACAGAACGCAGCTATGTGGGTCATTCTGGGTTGCACCAGAGACACCCCAGTGGTGTGTATGCGATACATCCTTGGTTTGCCGACTGTTGCAGGTAGGTACAGGGTGCTGCAGGCGAAGTCATATCTCAGGGTAGCTGCAGAAAGAGACCACCCTTTGCACGAAGCTCTGGGTGCAGTTAAGGGTCAGCGACTGATAAGAGGGAAGTTATGGATGGCTCAAGCAGAAGACACAATCAGACAGGTTTACATCCTTGAGAACATTAGGCAAGGAGAGGAGTGGGTCAAAGTGTCACCTGAACAGTCAGACGTGTAGGGTCATAATTACACTGAGCCGGAAATGCAGAGACTGGCCAGCAGGTGCCACAGAGGTGGAAACTCAGTAATTAATTCAAGATAATACTGGCTCAGAGGATTTGATCCTTTACACATACGGTTCAGTGTCAAGAGACAAAAGAAGTGCTTGGGGTTTCTTAGCAAAAGTTAATGGTCGACGTTTGATGCAGGAGAGTCTAGAATATGATACCACAACCTCCAGCTTAAGAATGGAGGTGGAGGCGGTCACTGCAGCTTTCTGCTAGCTAGAGAACATGACATACATCGTGACTGTAACTGGCTCAGAAAGCATGCTGAGGAAGATCAGGACAGGCATGCTTCTTGCAGAGTGGCATGCCTCCCTGCGGAAGACACGGGTGAGGAGTACTGTCTGGATTTTTTTCACCAGGGCATGCCGGTATGTTGGGAAATGAACAGGCGGACAGACTGGCTGGCTCTGCACAGCTTGGTGGAATACTGATGTATGATAAGGCAGACTTGGTCAGTGTCTTGTGGGAGAGCGAGTACAGTTCGGAGGAGCAGATGGATCACCAGTCTGGTGAGATTGATGCAAGGGGGAGTGACAAGAGGCTCTGGCAGATGCTCGAGGCTCAAAGGAAAGGCAAGACGGACGTTTAATCAGAATGCTACTGGCACCATTAGTATAGGAATTCTTCGCTGGCTGCTGAAGATGGGGACAGAGCACTTATGGGAATGCCCCTAGTGCTGTGATGTCGGTTCTTGAATCAAATCAAATCAATCTAATCTCATGTCTTCTGTCAACAGTTGTTCATAGATGGTCTTCAGAATGTTCCCCTTGTCCAGTAAAAGTGTTCCCATAGCCATCGCTTTTGCAGCCAGAAAATCCACTCTTTTATTCCCTCCCACTCCTGCATATCCCAGACAACCCTTCCACGTGATTCCCTGCAATGTTTGTGTACTGATGCTTGGTATCCACTAACACAACATTAGTCCATTCTGAACTTTCCTCAGCACCGGCTGAGAATCAGACACATTAATTCCTCAGCTAACCTTGTTTTCTGCTACCCAAATCAGCTGCCTCCACCTCCCTCCTTATGCAGATAGAAAAGCTCCAAAAAGAACCAAAATATAAACAGAAAGTGAACTCCAGCCCAAACATACTTAAAGGTACGATCCTCGCAGGCATGGACGTTTCTTAAATGCAGGTCTAGCTGCCGTTTTGTAGCAAACTTCTGGCTGCAGCCATCTTCGGTGCACGTCTCAGTGCAAGGCCTGTCGTGCAGCTTGCGGTGGTTGTTGAGGTTGTAGACCGTGGTAAACCGATGTCCGCAACCGGGCTTGTCACACTGCAACAAGAGTTCACATGTAAACCATATGCTAGTGACAGGATCAGGAATGTAAACCATATGCTAGTGACAGGATCAGGAATGTAAACCATATGCTAGTGACAGGATCAGGAATGTAAACCATATGCTAGTGACAGGATCAGGAATGTAAACCATATGCTAGTGACAGGATCAGGAATGTAAACCATATGCTAGTGACAGGATCAGGAATGTAAACCATATGCTAGTGACAGGATCAGGAATGTAAACCATATGCTAGTGACAGGATCAGGAATGTAAACCATATGCTAGTGACAGGATCAGGAATGTAAACCATATGCTAGTGACAGGATCAGGAATGTAAACCATATGCTAGTGACAGGATCAGGAATGTAAACCATATGCTAGTGACAGGATCAGGAATGTAAACCATATGCTAGTGACAGGATCAGGAATGTAAACCATATGCTAGTAACAGGATCAGGAATGTAAACCATATGCTAGTGACAGGATCAGGAATGTAAACCATTTGCTAGTGACAGGATCAGGTAATTTAAATTTTTTCAAACAACAAATGGCAACATGAAAACCCAAGTGAGAGAACGCTGCGGCTCTTTGGTGCATGTCAAAAGTGGACAGCCATCTTTAAGTTGTCCCTATAAAGTCACTGTGTTCATCTGCATTGTGATGTCACATGCTTAACACTCTTGAGTTCCTTAACAACAATGCTGACAGTTGATCAGGCAATGTCGGGATTACTGTAATTTCTATCACACTTTTAAGGATTTTATCTGAAGCCCCATCGGGCAACATTCTTAAGCAAGTTAGCAGATACAAATATTTAGCACCAGTCATAATATCTGGTGCACGATGCCTTGCAGAAATTACAATGAAACTTTCCATGTTAAAAGTGGTGGCCTTTAGCAAGATGCAAAAGATTCTCAGAAATAAGAAGTTTGAAAAAGAGTGTTAAACTGTTATGTAGAACCTGTGTTGTTGTATGCAAGTGAAACACGGACAATAAGCAGACTAGCAGTAAAACATTTATTGCAGCAGAAATGTGGTTTCTGAGAAAAATGCAAAGAATACCATAGAGAAAAAAAAAAGAAACTTTCCATCCCTCAATGAGACAAATGAAAGTCATCAACTTATTTGAACAAATCCATGTTGACAGTCAATGTTGTTTGGACATTTGATGAGACGGAATGGACCTGACAACTTGGGAAAACTGGCCAGATTGACGGAAAGAGAGCACGTGGAAGGTAAAGAGATAAACACCTGGATGGCCTGGCCAGACAGATGGAGGCTGGGAAGGGGAGAGCGAGACAAAAACACTGAACTGCACCGTTATTCTGGCGATCGTAGGAGATTGTGAAATTTGACAGCATTTGCTTACCAGCAAGACACATGAGGATGAAGAAGTACGGCTGAATTCTGTCAACTCTATGCAGGCACTAGTTAACCCACTGACTACCACAAACGCAGGTTAAGCAAGCCATTGACATTTACGCCTAGCTACAATGATCACACCTCTCACAATCTTAACTGCGGATGCTTACCGCCATGTTAAAATTGCGACTTCTGCAATACATCTAGTTGGAACCGTTAGTCCATTTATTTCTTTATGGTTAAAGGGAAAAAATTTGGTAGTGCTTAAAGTAAATTTCCCCCCACATTTTTTGGTAAGCTCCCATGTCGACGATGCATAAAGGTATATTTTGAATATGGCGGCTGATTGTTAAAGCCAGCGTGGTGGAAGAGTTTGTGGAATATCCCTGGTGCTATGGGGTATTGTTTTGAATCGGAAAGTGAAGGTGACAATATTTCTTAACAGTTTTATGACTGTGACTTTGATCATTCTCACCAACTGCCATCGAAAACTTTGAACTGGAAGATGATGTTTTGCTTATAGCAGAGGCATGGCAGTCGCAGGTAGGTCACATTAGATCAGGTAAACTGTTTCATGTAGGTGCTTCAGGTGTGCATTGTTAGGTGTGTCTGTTAGTGTAGACCAGGGCTATTCATCTGGTCATTTTTTTTTCAAGTCTATATTGCGCACTTTTTGCACCAATCTACAGCCACATTTTGATGATTTCAAAAAAAGATTACACAGTTCTTGTTCTTGAAATTTGTTCTTTATTCAGTTTGGTGCAAAAATACAAAATTATTATAATATTATATTGAAAAGTTGTGAGGCTGCAGCATCTTTAGTAGACACTTTAAAATATGTGGTATCTGGGAAAGTGCCAGACTTACCGGGCGTGGTAGTCACTGGGTTGATGAATGTCAATAACATGTGGCAAAAAATGAACAAAAACACAGTAAACACACAGACACACAAAACAAGCTACACACCATGTAATCCTTTCGTCCCTCATGAGATTCCATGTGCCGTTTCAGCTTGTTGGACGTGGTGAAAGCCCATTCACATCCTAACAAACTACACTAGAATAGACAACATGGAAGAAGGTTACACATGTTCCTATAAATGCCTTTTATCATCATCACTCTTCGTGTGCCATTAGATGTCGCATGGGGCTTGCATATGTTTTCTCCACTCCGCTCTATCGCATACAACTCTTGATTTCTGACAAGGACTTCAGTCCAGTAATTTTAGCCTCTTGCAATAAACATTCCTGGCAGAACAAAATTGACAAGAGATCGCCCAGACCAGTTTCTGCTTCTTCTATGCCTCTTGTTACCTCACTGAGGTGTAGAAGTGATGTAGGGATCTTTCGCAAAAGCTTCCTAATGTGTTGCTATTTGTGAATGAAGTGCTTGTGTTAAGTCTGTATGTATTGTGTTTGCAAAAGTACTAATGCCTGTGCAGATTGTATCAGTGTGTGTTGTCTGTGTGTATGCCGTGTCTGTAAGGAAATGTTATGACTGCATGTGTTTTCTATCTGTGATTGTGTTTTATATCTGTGATTGTGTGTATGCCTGTTTATGTTGTGTGTGTGTCATCAATGTGTGCACCTCTGGGTGTATAAAGGTGATGTGTGCACAAGTCTGCGATGTGTGAGTATATTTGCATGTACATTTGAAAGTATGCATCTGTCATCCATGCCTTTGTATTTTTAATTTGCATTGATACAATAAATTCTGATATATGAACATAATATGCTTGATACATCAAATGCAACTGAAGTCTGAAAGATGAATGCCTGGAAGGGTTGAATGTAAGACGGGAATGCATGCCCACTTTGTAAACCACTGGAAATCAAGTTTGTTCATTTGTTTGAGTTGCATAAATTTATCTTCACTGCTGTGAGGCCATTCCTAATGCCATCTTTCCATCTTTTGTATGGCCTTTCCTTCTTCTTCTTCTTGTTCATCGGCTGTGAATTCCGGCAGAAAGTCCTCGTTGTTCGTCTATTTGGACATTTAGTTTTGTACCAGGACTTAAGTTTTGCGTGTACATCTGCTTTACTGGCTTATTTGTATGTAGTTATTGTTCCCTGCTTCTCGGGCAGATGTAGTCTGACTTCAAAGGAAGACATAGATCCTATCTCTAGGATGACTGTGGCCATCTTTCCTTTTTCTATGTTCATTGTATTTCTTCAGAGTGACTACCTGTGGTAGTTGATAAGAGGGCATTCTCATCAGGTGGCCAAACCATCTCATATGGTGCTCTTTAATTGAATGTATGACCAATTTCAGTCGTAGTACTCTTATAATTTGTTCATTTTCAATTGTCTCTCCACTTGTTACTTCTACAACTATTCTATGCAATCTCATCTCTGTTGTTATGTATTTGGGCTCATTAGTTTGAGAAAGGGTCCAGGTTTGACACTGGTAGCATCAAGTTGGCCAACAAATTAATCATTATAGTTGCCTACATTCATTCAGATAACATGAAAAAATCAGAAAATGTTTCAAGCAGATGACATTTCAAATGTCCACAGAATACAAAGATGTCTATCACATCCAGAATTGGTTTGTTGTAGTTCTGCATGAAGGATTTGTCAATTGTCAACAGAACATAGGTGTCTATCACGTCCAGGATTGGTTTGTTGTAGTTCTGCATGAAAGATTTGTCAACTGTCAACAGGACATAGATGTCTATCACGTCCAGGATTGGTTTGTTGTAGTTCTGCATGAAAGATTTGTCAACTGTCAACAGAACATAGGTGTCTATCACGTCCAGGATTGGTTTGTTGTAGTTCTGCGTGAAAGATTTGTCAACTGTCAACAGAACATAGGTGTCTATCATGTCCAGGATTGGTTTGTTGTAGTTCTCCATGAAAGATTTGTCAACTGTCAACAGAACATAGGTGTCTATCATGTCCAGGATTGGTTTGTTGTAGTTCTGCATGAAGGATTTGTCAACTGTCAACAGGAAATAGGTGTCTATCACGTCCAGGATTGGTTTGTTGTAGTTCTGCTTGAAAGATTTGTCAACTGTCAACAGAACATAGGTGTCTATCACGTCCAGGATTGGTTTGTTGTAGTTCTGCATGAAGGATTTGTCAACTGTTAACAGGACATAGGTGTCTATCATGTCCAGAATTAGTTTGTTGCAGTTCTGCATGAAAGATTTGTCAACTGTCAACAGAACATAGGTGTTTATCATGTCCAGAATTGGTTTGTTGTAGTTCTGCATGAAGGATTTGTCAACTGTCAACAGAACATAGGTGCCTATCACGTCCAGGATTGGTTTGTTGTAGTTCTGCATGAAAGATTTGTCAACTGTCAACAGGACATGGATGTCTATCACGTCCAGGATTGGTTTGTTGTAGTTCTGCATGAAAGATTTGTCAACTGTCAACAGAACATAGGTGTCTATCATGTCCAGGATTGGTTTGTTGTAGTTCTGCATGAAAGATTTGTCAACTGTCAACAGAACATAGGTATCTATCATGTCCAGGATTGGTTTGTTGTAGTTCTGCATGAAGGATTTGTCAACTGTCAACAGAACATAGGTGTCTATCATGTCTAGAATTGGTTTGTTGTAGTTCTGATGAAGGATTTGTCAACTGTCAACAGAACATAGGTGTCTATCATGTCCAGGATTGGTTTGTTGTAGTTCTGCATGAAGGATTTGTCAACTGTCAACAGAACATAGGTGTCTATCATGTCCAGGATTGGTTTGTTGTAGTTCTGCATGAAAGATTTGTCAACTGTCAACAGAACATAGGTGTCTATTAGGTATAGTAATGAGTAGTTTTGTTTAGTTTATTTTGCTATACATTTTCGTCGGTATCTATAGACGCGACTGCGACCCGATAATGCAAAACGAATTGTCCGTTATTAAGAATTTATTTTTCTGTGCTCTGTGAAAGATAAAATCGGAACAGTTATTAGGAGTTATTGGAGAGATGCCAGGCTTTGACCTGAGATGGTTTTGACGCGTATAAAATAAATCGATTTTTTTTTTGCAGCACGCAGTGAATTAACTGTAAGTAATTTCATAAATATCTTTTTAATTAGCCTGATTACTGCAATGTGTGGTGTATTTTTGAATTCTGCGTTAATTTTTATATAAGTGTGGGAAATTTCACAAAGATTGGCAATACAGCACATGTTTAAAAAAATTGTTTAGTGGCATCACTGTTTTCGCTTCAAATCCAATAACGGTAAGTAATTTCGTAAATATCTTCTTAATTAGCCTGATTACCGCAATGTGTGGTGTATTTTTGAATTCTGCGTTAATTTTTATATAAGTGTGGGAAATTTCACAAAGATTGGCAATACAGCACATGTTTAAAAAAATTGTTTAGTGGCATCACTGTTTTCGCTTCAAATCCAATAACGGTAAGTAATTTCGTAAATATCTTCTTAATTAGCCTGATTACCGCAATGTGTGGTGTATTTTTGAATTCTGCGTTCATTTTTATATAAGTGTGGGAAATTTCACAAAGATTAGCAATACAACACATGTTTAAAAAAATTGTTTAGTAGCATCACTGTTTTCGCTTCAAATCCAATATGTTTGCACTAGGAGACCGTTTTTGCCGCTTTATAATTAACTTAAAATAATTATTAAATTACCTAACGTTATTTTAATCATAAAAAAAAAAATCCACAACCATTGTAGCATTTGTTCATGCATCTGTCAATATTTAGAGCCCTTTGGAGATATTTTTGCTTGATCACCCCCAAATCCCAATAATTAATTTAGGCCATCATTGGTAAGATGATTCTTTGGTAATTAACTTAGGATGCTTAGTAAATTGACAATGTTATGTGAGTTACTTTTTAAACATCCACAAACATTGCGCCATTTTTGCATGTGTTTGTCATTATTAAGAGTTTACAGAATTTTATGTTGGAGATATTTTTACCTACCCATATCTTGATCACGAATTTCACAAATTCTGGCACTAAATGATTTAGATAGTACGTCCAAAATTCATTTAGAGAGGTTTTTAACTGATAATGCAAGTTTATCTAATGTAATACTGCGACACGTTTGGCATCAAGAGGGCCAGGACTGTGTTTACTTTGAGATGGTTAGGAATGTGGGAACCACACAAACAAAAGATAAATGTAAGAAAGTTATTGATTTGTGGTACTGGAGAGAACATGAAGAGCCATCAAGTGACTTTTGTAGTATGAATGTTAAACAGTTTTTAGTCGACTTCGCACTGGGGGATTTATCATTTTTGTAAAATTGTATGTACTTGTGGTCAGTGTTTCCATCGTCCATTAGTATGTCTTACATGAATAAGAAGATTATTATTATTGGTTTTGATTTATAATAAAAGAACTGTTGAGCTCACACTGTCTCACGGGCTGGTATTATTTGGAAAAGGCATTTCAAAAGTAAGCTTAGTTGCTTTACTGGCAGGTTTAACAAATACTGAAGGTACACCTAATTTTGATATATGGTGTCATTTGTTTTGTGCTGCAACACATCAAATGGTTTTGAGTGTTTATCAATGTATCAGTGAGTTAGCTTATTGTATATTGTATTGGTAACTTTATTTTATATTCATTTTTAGTGTGTGACTTTTTCCTGACTGTTATTCTCTGGGTCACTGCCTCTTTTCATTTTTTACCTGTCTCTGTCTTTCGACTTGTTGCTATCCCCACTGTATGTCCTCTCCTGTGGTATTCCCTGGCTCTGCTGTCTCATGCATTCAATTTGCTCAGATCCCATATAATTTTAAGCTGTCTCTGTGTAATTTTCTATTCACTAAATACAGTCCTCTGTGTGTCGACTGGTCATGATGCATACCAGTGTAAATGTTTTGCTCTTGAATGCTGGGCAAACATGGATACTACAATAATTTTTTTTATTTTTTTTTATTACACAATAGCAGTTGTTTTATGGAGAAACTGTGATGAATGTATAATCACATCAAAATCCCACGTTATATCAATCATCCATGCTGTCTCTGTTGTTAGTGTATGCCTAGACTGTTGTCTTATGTACTCCTACACAACAAGAGAGAAGCAGTGATATGTATATGAAAACAACACTGTATAACAATGATCCTTGTTGTACTATTCCACCTGCCAGATGGATGTTTCCATAGTGGCTTTATAGATATAGCAGCAGCATGTGTGAAGCTGTGGTGAATGTATAATCACATCAAAATCCCACGGTATATCAATCATCCATGCTGTCTCTGTCTGTCTGTCTACATTTCATATGTATCTATCTCAATCCCCTTTTTTTCAAATGTAAGAACATTAGTGCTATTTATTGTTATCCCTCATGTATGCACGTTATCATTCATTTCTCACTGTGGCATCATTACTAGTTAATACTTTTAGGTGCTTTGTGTAGTAAAGACATTCACATTCATAATCTTTCTATGTTAATTTTGTCAAAAACATATTGCCAAGCTGTGTCTTTTTTCTTCTGCCTTCTATACCCTAATGGGGCATTAGTCCTCAATCAACTCACGCTGTCATTATAGTCATTGCTATTACATTAGCTCTTAGTGTCTTCCCTATCTTGTTAACTTCACTTTCTAGCTCCCTTCTGCATGTGTTTTTATGGTCTTTGTATATTTTTATGCCCCTGTTGGTTCCAGTACAAAACTCATTGGCAGACAACTGTAAAATGTATAAGGTTTTTGCTGAAAGAAAGTCAATTGATGGCCATTTTCATATGTTAATTAGGTCACGTCAACTGACATTGGCACATTTATATGATCTTAGTGGTCACCTTGTCGGGACGCACAATTTGATATGCATGTCGCCAGGCTCGCTGGCGGATAACCTTACAGGTATAATGTTTTGCTTGAAAATAGTGAGCTGGCGGCCATTTTCATATGTTAATTAGGTGCATAATGTATTATGTTTTTAAAACGTGCATAGACAGTTAGGTCTAACTGTCCTGCTTCCAGCAATATTTGGTTGCTAAGGGATTCGTTCAGAAACAAAAAAGTTATAGCCGTAAAATCAAACATTGAGTCATTTCATCTCACTGGGTCGCAGCCGGAAGCCATGTTTCATCGATTTCCACTACAATTTTTCTGTCGTGGTGTCCGCCACTAAAATGTTAATATCTCAGCTTAGAATCGACTTACAGGCTTAAATGAGGTACCATTGCATTTGTAATTTTAATTTTCATCTAGCTGTTACAATTTCGTGAGTAAAAACACAAAAAATAAAACTTCACTACCATCCCTAGTGTCTATCATGTCCAGGATTGGTTTGTTGTAGTTCTGCATGAAAGATTTGTCAACTGTCAACAGAACATAGGTGTCTATCATGTCCAGAATTGGTTTGTTGTAGTTCTGCATGAAAGATTTGTCAACTTTTAACAAGACATAGGTGTCTATCATGTCCAGAATTGGTTTGTTGTAGTTCTGCATGAAAGATTTGCCAACTGTCAACAGAACATAGGTGTCTATCATGTCCAGGATTGGTTTGTTGTAGTTCTGCATGAAAGATTTGTCAACTGTCAACAGAACATAGGTATCTATCATGTCCAGGATTGGTTCGTTGTAGTTCTGCATGAAAGATTTGTCAACTGTCAACAGAACATAGGTATCTATCATGTCCAGGATTGGTTTGTTGTAGTTCTGCATGAAAGATTTGTCAACTGTCAACAGAACATAGGTATCTATCATGTCCAGGATTGGTTTGTTGTAGTTCTGCATGAAGGATTTGTCAACTGTCAACAGAACATAGGTGTCTATCATGTCCAGAATTGGTTTGTTGTAGTTCTGATGAAGGATTTGTCAACTGTCAACAGAACATAGGTGTCTATCATGTCCAGGATTGGTTTGTTGTAGTTCTGCATGAAGGATCTGTCAACTGTCAACAGAACATAGGTGTCTATCATGTCCAGAATTGGTTTGTTGTAGTTCTGCATAAAGGATTTGTCAACTGTCAACAGAACATAGGTGTCTATCATGTCCAGAATTGGTTTGTTGTAGTTCTGCATGTGTGACAATAGTTCCACAAGACTGAGCTACCTGTTGAAGTTCTGTTAACATAAACAAACAGGTGGGGAACCCTCAAGGCTGCTGAAAACAGTTTGATTAAGACAATGATATATATTAACTGGCAGAAAGAAGAGAGATAGAAGAACACAGCAGACAACATAAAAATTGAAAGTGGCATTAACGGAGAACTGGATCCAACCAGAAGGGTTGGTTTGAGAAAGGGTTAAAACACAAATACACAATAGGGTACTACTCATGAAAGTCACCCTATCTTGTCAGCAGCAAGATTTCACAGCGATTCCCATGGGCTGTTATGTGTTGAAGGGTTGTTATGAGTTGTCTTCCTTTGCAATCTATACACAGCGTGCCAAAAAGTGGCTCATGTTCAATCTTTGAATTGCGCAGCTTTCTTTTTGAAATTCTTTTCTGTGAACGACTGTTGTTTCTGGAATGTGTTGAGTAGGTCTCAGGTGCCAAAGGCGCCAGTGTACAAGAAATAAGTACTGCAGGGGGAAGCACCAATGGCTCAACGGTTTGTATTAAAGTAATTATGTTTTTGTATTTTTACGCTCGCTGGCGATGGCTGTCATCGGTGGTGGATGTGCTTAAAACGGTCAAAATGAGGAACACATGACATCCCTAAACTAAATGAGTGTCCTGGGAAATCCCCTACATAAAATCACATGGCCAATGAGATGGGGTGACCTTCATGAGTTGTACCTAAAATTTATATTATCAATGCTATATACATCATAAACAGTCACACCAATACTTTCTGGCATGAGGTGACCGGTGTTTCAAATAAACACACAGACAACTACCTTAAATGGTCTCTCTCCTGTATGTAACATCTGATGCACCTTCAGCTTAGAAGCTTTCTTAAAGGTCTTTCTGCAACCAGGAGCAACACACATAAACATCTTCTTGGGTTTCTGCAAACAAAACAAAAACAAAATGGGCAGACATCCAGACATCTCAGTTGTGTCAGACACAGTAATGCACTGGGGAGGAAATTTGCCTTATCAAGACGAGGAAATTCAATTGAAAAATGTAATGTTATGGCAAGCCAGTTTAGGCCTTTAGCCGTGGCTGGCAGTTGGTCTAGGAAGGAAAATCAGGCAGGTAGATTTGACGGAGCACGGCTCTTCTGATCCGGCAGCTTCTGCAGCATGTTTATTCCTCAAACATATTGGTGTTACCTTTCATGTGGAGTTAACAAAGTAAACTAAGACAGAGATAATCTTTCTGCATAGGAAACACATGGTCTCTATAATAGTGCCAAGGCTTTATGCCTCCTTAAACTGAAAAAAAAAATTACAAATAGAAACACACTGCTGAGAAAAACTAGCTCAGAAACCAGTGGAGACAGCTTAAAAAAAATGTTAAAGACTGGAAACAAACAAGCCTCCATGCGCGCGCATGTGTGTGGGTGAGGGAGAGGGTAGAAGGCATATTCCTTTACAGGTTTTTTAGGGTCTCCTTATATGTTGACGTACGTAACTCTGTAGTAAAACACCTGACCAGATGCAGGAACATATGCCTGGCAACACACTGATCAACGTATTATTTGTGGCTGCATTATTTAAATTCAGATGTCGAGGTCAACCTCTACTACGATATAAAGATGTGTGCAAGCGGGACATGAATGATACAGGTACTGAGGTGGACTCATGGGAACCAAATGCTATGGACCGAGTTATGTGGAGGGGGCATATCAGGAAAGGAATGAGAATGAAGGAAGATATGACTGCAGAAAAGATGAGAGCTGAGCGTGTGAAAAGAAACAGATGAAAAAACAAATGTTGACAACAGCGGTCCTGAAATCACATGCTTTAGTTGTGGAAGACTTTTCTCAACGTCGGTGGGTCTTGCTAGTCACACTGGCTCTCACCATGGGCTGGGAGCGCAATAAAACACAATCCTCTGGAAAGACGGAAAGATGCCAATCAATTAAATTCACTATGAGTAATTCCTATGATTCAACAGGTTTCATACTCTTCAACCATGACTGCTTTTGATTTGTGACCGTTCTTTAATCTGAAAGTAACCCAATTTGGGTCTTGAGAAGACATCATGTGGGGCTTGACAGTCAAGCTGTACACCACTCTAAAAAAACTCAAGAAAGCAATAGAATACCACTAAACATAAAACTGCTTACAAAAACCAAACACACTGCAGACCACTCAAGGCAGCAGCCCTCCCTTTTGTGGGTTGAACGACCCTTTCACAGGGGTCGCCTAAGACCATCAGAAAACACATATTCACTGAAATTATTCACGGAAATAATTGTATGGTTGAGGGTCGCCACAACATGAGGCACCGCATTAAAGGGTCGCCACATTAGGAAGGTTGAGAACCGCTGACTTAAGATGATATTGGATATGGCAAATTTTTATTGTGAGGAACAATTTGTTTATCCCCTGTAATTTTTCTTGCTTGACCTCTTATCTGGAAAAGAATTTCTGATAAGAAGAATTATTTCTTGGGTTCTCAGTTCTGCATTGCAACAACAAACGAATGTCAGCAAGTTTTGAGAAGAGCTATAAAGATTATGCAGCTAACCTTTGTGTCTGGATCTCCATTCGTAATGTGAATTGGAACGGCCTGTACCATATTTGCTGCACTCTCCACCACAGGGACCAGAACAAACCCTGCAATATATGCAAACACAAGCATTCAGTAACAACAATGATAAACATTTTAAAAAAAACACTTAACACACCAGTGCCAGTGGCCACGTAGCAAAAGAGAATTTGGTCGTTAATACCTGTATTTACCACTCCTCCCCTTAAAATGGAGCCCTGGAACACGCACAGGGAAAATATAAAGTGTGTATCAGTATTACAGGTCCAGTTAGTTAGTTAGTTAGTTGGGTTATCCTCATTGCACTCCGGACATGTCCATAGGTGCTCAGATCCTTCCCTCAGTATGAACCCCAACGTCCGATGGCTAATAGTACCAGTTCTATGTTGATTAACAAGTCTTCTAGCGTGTCTGGTGTGCGTCTCGTTTTTTGCTGTGCCGATCTTAATTCCCAAGTCTGCCATTCTGGCGAGTGATGTGGATTCACTGCCACCAAAGTAGTCTATCCTTCCCATTTCTCTGAGGGCATTGATAATATCAGCATGATCCATAGGCTGACCGTCGGTAGTGATAGCGGATCCAGCCAACCTGTCAGCTCTTTCATTTCCATCGACGCCTGCATGTCCCGGAACAAAAATAAAGGTGACTCCACGCACAGTGGACTTCTGTAATGATTCAAGCCATTGTCTTCGCACTGAACCTGCTTGAACCCTCCGGATCATACTCATTGAATCCTTGAGTATACACACGCGGGTGTATTTTTGTGTTTCAAGCCAGGCAAGCGCTTGCGCCACTGCCATCACCTCCATCGTCATGCTGCTGGTTGTCATGGAGAAGGCGCCGTTGGCTTCTTTGACTGTTCTGCCCGCTGAGCGTGCTGTAAATGCCCATGCGCTTCTTCTTTGGCGTATAACGGATCCGTCTGTATAGATTATTGCATCTGCTTCATCTGAATTTTCACCGATGAGAGCGTTGACCTCTGCATTAACAGCGACAGGATTCTCTTCTCTACATCGCCTGTTGAGTGTGACAATACAGGAAAATGTACAAATGAACGCCTGAGGCACAGGTATCCATTCTGCACCAGGTATGATGTCGGTTAGGCTGCATATTTGCCTAATAACATCTTCTGCCCAGTTACAACAGTTACAACAGGCAAACGGTTGAACGGAGGGGGGGGGGGGGGGGCTGAGGATTTAGGGCCTCATGGCTAGTGCTGACACCAGGGACTATGCAGGTTAGGAATGTAACCCCCCCCCCCCCCTTTTTTTTCTTCCAAAAACAAATTCTTACCAAGGATTTAAACCTTGGTCTCACACATAAAGAGTCTAGTGTGCCCACCAGTAATCAACGGATGATGTGGTCAGCATCACCGAGGCCAACTTTAATTCTCAAGACTTCACGTGGCATCAATTTACAGCTGGTTCGACCTGGGAGATAAAATCAGTGGTACAAAAAAAATTTATCAGCACAATTCAGATTTGAACCGAGAACCTAAGGCCGGCAGGCAAGTACCTAGCTGCTTTGCCACTAAGGATGAATGTAGAGTTTTAATGGTTAAACTATGTATACACTAAGACTTGTATGAAGCCAGGCTCTGATATTATCTTCTAATGCAGCGGTTGTCAACCTGTGGGTCATGACCCTTTGGGGGAAGGGGGGGGGGGGGGGAATTACCCTTTCATAGGGGCGCTTAAGAGCATCAGAAAACACATATTCATTGAAGTTATAAATTATTAACAAAATAAGTGTGTATTTGGGAGTCGTCGCCATAACATGAGGAACTGCATTAATGGGTCAAGGCATTAGGAAGGTTGAGAGCCATTGGTCTAACAGAAAGTATCACAACCAGCGGTGTAGTTATCAAATAAACAATGCCAGGGGCCTTTACATACTTTACGACATTACTTCTGCTTCTTAAAGTCCATGCCATATGGCATTGGTAGTCATGTCTATCTCAACCTTCTGTCTCATGAACTTTCAATCAACTCTGACACAGACGATCCTCCATGCCATGATGTCAAACTATTCAGCAACTGTTCTCTCGGTCTGCCACCAACTTTCCTACTGACATGATACACTCCAGTTTTCTCCTTCTCATCACGTGACCAAAGAATGTAGATTGTCTTTTTCTGATGTGGGCAGTCAGTTCTCTTCGTGAGTCAGCTTCTTTCAAGACATCTTCATTACCCTTTTTTATCTGTCCAGGGTATTCTCATCATTCGCCTATAAAACCACATCTCCGCAGCTTCCAAATAAGCTTTCACTAATTTACTGTAATGGGGGATATTTTCACCCTGATTGGGAAGGGTGGGGGGATTAACCGAGGTTTTCAAGATAGGGGACGACCACGAGTTATCACGTGGAACTAAATGAGAACGACCACAGGTCGCCACGTGGAACCCCCCCCCCCCCCCCCAAAAAAAAAAAAACCATGTGTTGCCATGTGGAACGAACACTTGGTATAAGATCAGACCCCAGTTAGAATGTGTTGACCGTCAGAGCGAGAGGACGTGAGAGCGTGAGGATGACAACGTGAGACTGACTGTTGCGAGAGGAAGACCAGACGACAACATCCATCGAAGCCAAGTCCAGCCAGGCCAGTATGTGGTAACAATCAGTTCCATCTTTGCGGCGATGTGGAAGTGAAGGCGCCGAACTCTTGTCGATGAATGTGTGAGAAGTCAGCATGTTGGAGTCTGAATAGTGTGGTGCATGTAAGCTGTGAATTAAGACACGGACAGGACTTTCTATGTAAGTGATGAGATGTCAATAAACTGTATCGCACTTTGAAGCCGGTGTCGGCTTGTCCCAGTTATGTCATCTTAAGAATGTGTGCTAAGACACGGCCTTCTCTATTTATATACAGCCGGACCTGGCTAAGAGCATTAACTAGACACATCATCTCCTAGACAACAAGCCCAAGGTCATCAACTACTTACAGCAAGTAGAAGACGGCTTATTGCATTTATTAACATTAAATACCAACGGTTAATACATTCTTTCTTTGGTTTATACATATTCTGCTTTGTGCCGCTAGGTGTCGCTGGTTAGCAGATAATCAGTGTCTGAGCTAGGGCATGCTCAGCTGTCGGGTCCCAACATGTCAATGACTCCTTCAATCCATCTTCTTCAAGGTCGTCCCCAAACTTTTGGTGTTTCTACTTTCATGTTCTACACTCTTACTGCTTGGCATTATTGGTTTCATTCTCATTAAATGACCAATCCATTTCAGTCTTGAATGCTGAATTAAGAATCGACATCACAACACTCAGGACACTCCCATAAGCACTCTATCCTCATCTTCAGCAGCAAACAGAGAGTTCCTACTCCGGATGGTACCAGTAACTGTCCGACTGTACATCCATCTCACCTTTCCCTTGAGTGTTGAGCCTCGGCCAGATCCTCTGATAACTAATCATGGTGCCATTCTCCTCAGACTAATGATCTATTTGTGCCTCTGCACTGTTCACTCGCTCCCAAAGAACCCTCACATCTAGCTTGTCATACATCAATCCATCACTAAGTGGTACAAAACCGAGGAGTCTATCTGCCTGCTTGTTCTCAAACACACTGTTATAACCTGGAGAAAATATCTAAAGGTTACTAACTACCCGGGACCTCTAAAGCAATGCTTGCCACTCTGCAGGGAGCATGCCTGTCTCCATCTTTCTCAACATACTGTGAGTCAGTTACAATTACAAGTTCCATTTCATTCTTTGTTTTACCATGAATTTATTTATAGGTGATCCAACAGTTTTTGTAATTGTTCATTTCTAACAGGTTCTCTTCTAGTTTTGTTCACGACCTTTATTAAACATTTCATTTTACAACTGTCCGTTTTTCTTTATGTTCCTCAGTCACTGTCCAAGTCTGGCACTGATGGAAAAAGGTTAGTATGAAAATTAGTTTTATAATCAGTCTTTCTGTCTCTTCTGGGACAGCCCGTGTTTTAAAATTGAGATCAGTTGATATATGACTTTGCTGACTACTTGGTAATTACGTTTTAAAATCTCAATATGATATTATGGTGTTTTCAAAAAGTAAAGAACCCTCCTCAAGACTCATTTGTTTAGACCAATCAGCACTGGATGGTCCATGATACTGAGCTTGTTCCCTTCCCTCACTGTCCTAGATACTTCCAGGCTCGTACTGAGCTTGTTCTCTTCCCTCACTGTCCTAGATACTTCCAGGCTCATACTGAGCTTGTTCCCTTCCCTCACTGTCCTAGATACTTCCAGGCTCATACTGAGCTTGTTCCCTTCCCTCACTGTCCTAGATACTTCCAGGCTCATACTGAGCTTGTTCCCTTCCCTCACTGCCCTAGATTCTTCCAGGCTCATACTGAGCTTGTTCCCTTCCCTCACTGTCCTAGATTCTTCCAGGCTCATACTGACCTTGTTCCCTTCCCTCACTGTCCTAGATTCTTCCAGGCTCATACTGAGCTTGTTCTCTTCCCTCACTGTCCTAGATACTTCCAGGCTCATACTGAGCTTGTTCCCTTCCCTCACTGTCCTAGATACTTCCAGGCTCATACTGATCTTGTTCCCTTCCCTCACTGTCCTAGATACTTCCAGGCTCATACTGAGCTTGTTCCCTTCCCTCACTGTCCTAGATACTTCCAGGCTCATACTGAGCTTGTTCCCTTCCCTCACTGTCCTAGATACTTCCAGGCTCATACTGAGCTTGTTCCCTTCCCTCACTGTCCTAGATACTTCCAGGCTCATACTGAGCTTGTTCCCTTCCCTCACTGTCCTAGATACTTCCAGGCTCATACTGATCTTGTTCCCTTCCCTCACTGTCCTAGATACTTCCAGGCTCATACTGAGCTTGTTCCCTTCCCTCACTGTCCTAGATACTTCCAGGCTCATACTGAGCTTGTTCCCTTCCCTCACTGTCCTAGATACTTCCAGGCTCATACTGAGCTTGTTCCCTTCCCTCACTGTCCTAGATACTTCCAGGCTCATACTGAGCTTGTTCCCTTCCCTCACTGTCCTAGATACTTCCAGGCTCGTACTGAGCTTGTTCTCTTCCCTCACTGTCCTAGATACTTCCAGGCTCGTACTGAGCTTGTTCCCTTCCCTCACTGTCCTAGATACTTCCAGGCTCATACTGAGCTTGTTCCCTTCCCTCACTGTCCTAGATCCTTCCAGGCTCATACTGATCTTGTTCCCTTCCCTCACTGTCCTAGATACTTCCAGGCTCATACTGATCTTGTTCCCTTCCCTCACTGTCCTAGATACTTCCAGGCTCATACTGAGCTTGTTCCCTTCCCTCACTGTCCTAGATACTTCCAGGCTCATACTGATCTTGTTCCCTTCCCTCACTGTCCTAGATACTTCCAGGCTCATACTGATCTTGTTCCCTTCCCTCACTGTCCTAGATACTTCCAGGCTCATACTGATCTTGTTCCCTTCCCTCACTGTCCTAGATACTTCCAGGCTCATACTGATCTTGTTCCCTTCCCTCACTGTCCTAGATACTTCCAGGCTCATACTGATCTTGTTCCCTTCCCTTACTGTCCTAGATACTTCCAGGCTCATACTGAGCTTGTTCCCTTCCCTCACTGTCCTAGATACTTCCAGGCTCATACTGAGCTTGTTTCCTTCCCTCACTGTCCTAGATACTTCCAGGCTCATACTGAGCTTGTTCCCTTCCCTCACTGCCCTAGATACTTCCAGGCTGGTACTGAGCTTACAAGTCAAGTCCGGACGCACAGACAATCAAGGATAGCTTCAAGATGTATGACAGAAAGTGGTTTTCATCACTTGTGATTGACAAACAACTCCGGGGTCCTATTGTAAGAAAAACAAGAATAGGTGCATGTCTACCCAAAAGCATGTCATAAGAGTAGACTAATTAGATGAAATGTATCTGCCCAGAGGCAAGGAACCAACAGTCTTACAAATGAACCAGACCTGTAAATAGGGTGCCAAGAAACAGTTTCTGGAACAGGACTACCGTCTAAAAGTGGACGAACAACCAGAACTTTCCGCTGGAGTTTACTGCTGGTGAGCGTGAAGAAGAAAAAGATCTGAATGTAGCTGTTACATTGAGGCGGCTCCCAAACAACAGGCAAAAATATTCCTCTGAAAATCATTAGAAAGTAAAGGGAAATATTACTTGATGCTTAATGCAGTGCTTACCTGGTATAGTTGAGTTAGTCAGTGAAGGTTGTGAAGTGATTGGCTGTGATGTCATAGCCATATTCTCAACATTCGAATTAAGTGCACTAATGCTAAAAGTGCCATCACATGCTGGATTCAGGTCCGAAGCATTTATCACAAACATATTTCCCTGATGTATGTTTCTGTTACGAGATTTATTCATATTTGCTGTATTAATGACATACATTTGTTGCTGCCCTTGGTGACTGTCCACAAGAATTTTTGTTGAGTTTTCCTCGTCGTTTGAAATTGAAATTGTTGTTACAGTGATATTTTGATTTTTCAGTTGAGAACTATCAATACTTTGTAATATATGCTCTGATAAATTTGCAGAATTGGCTACAATTTGATTTTCTAGGGACAGAGTATTTTCTTCTAGAACATTTACAGAATTTCCATCAATAAAGTGACCACTGGCGGACACAGATGTGTTTTCTAACCCCAGGAAGTTTGGAAGACTTGTCAAATTTAAATCACTGGAGCTGTCATGCAGGTTCGGGAGGGCCACCTGGTCGACCATTGTGCCAGCAAAAGTTGACGGTATTGATTTGAGATTGGACGAAGAAGAGGATATTGTATTAAAGTTATTCACCGAGTCATCTGAACACAAGACATTTTTGCCTCCCACTACAGTATAGTTCAAACTATCTGTATAGTGCATGATTTCCACAGGTAGCGAATCCGACTTCATGCCCTCAAATAACATACTGTTTAAATCACTAGTACTGCAAGATAATGCTTCTCCTGCGCTGTTGACATCTTCAGCTAAAGCATCAGGAAAAGACACAAACACTTCTGAAGGAACTGGAAGAGATGTATGTTGTTCACCTGGGTTACTAGAATTCCAGGAAATATGTGGCGTATTTCCAGTTGTTGTATAATCCCCATTATCTAATGTTTCAAAATAATTAACATCCACATTCTGCTTCATAACCGAATTCTGTGAAATTGAAGACGCAAATGCAAAATCGTTCACACGTTCAGAAAACGCTCCGGAGGTATCCAGCAAAGGAAGCGACGACAAAGGGACCTTGGCCTCCTCGACCTGAAGGAGGCCCAAGTCTTTGGCCTCCTCCACCTTCACCTGCAGCCATTCCAGAGCCTGGTTTCTTAAAGCTTTAGTTTCTTCATCATCCCCGGCATGTTCGTCATTGATACCAGAAGCGCTGTATGCGGTTGATGTGTTTGAAAAGTGATGACCTGTGCTAGGGGTAGGCGAAGAAGTAGAAGCAGCTCGCGATAAACCAACAACAACACCGCCATTATTAGCAAAAGTATATCGGCCTGAACCAGCGCCATGACACTGCAGAACCACAGACGTCGTTTGTGAATTATCAGCATTAGGAAGACGTCCGACGATCTGCAGCGATGGGGTACATTTTGTAGATGTATCGGAGAGAAGTTGATGTGTTCTAACGGTCGCTGCCTGGGCGCCGCCATGTTTAGAGCTAGAATCCCCCGTTTTCAACATGGCCATCATCCCCACGGATCGTTTTCTTAGGGGACTCCTTATTGATGCAGCGCGTACCTCGCCGTGACGTCATGGTAGCCTGGCGACGCCTGGCGTCAACATCATCATCATCATTATTATCATTCTCATCATCTTCACTGCCTTCATCATCATTTTTATCATCCTCATCACTATCATCATCACTACCATCATCAGCAAGCCCAAGCAACAACACACAAAAACATGAGAGGGGGTGCAGCCGGTATATTGGTTAGAGGCCCATGCAGCTCAAAAGGTTCTCACAGAGCTCAAATAAGGTCTATAAAGGGAAGCATTTCTGTTTTTATTTTTTGGAGTACACGTTCTCTCTCTCTCTCTTTCTCTCCCTCTCCCCCCCCCCTCTCTCTCTCTCTCTCTCTCTCTCTCTCTCTCTCTCTCTCTCTTGGGAAGTATATTTGAACGTAATTAATAAATGTACAGATATGACAATATTGATTCATGAGTCCCTCTGTAGGTTCGATGGTGACATTACTCTTGTTCCAACACTTTATCTTTACAGTTCCATATTTCGTCCAGTCTTTCATAAGCTTATGATTCCTTGCAATGCGTGTCAGAATTTATTCTACCAGTTCTGTCATACCTTTGCGGTATGCAATTTTTCGTTATTTGAAGCCCCACTCTGGCTCTTGCCAGGGGCCATAATATAGCCCGGTCATAAATGGTCTAATGGCTGAACGCGGTTTCTGGGACCTCTCCGCGGGTGATCCTCATCCACATGGTGGCACATTGTGTAATCGGGCGTTTATCACTTGTGTGATGTCCTGGTGGGGTAAAAGAAGATAGATAGAGATGGTATCAGAATTTCGTTCCTTGTGTGTTCTTAATTATCAATGAGTAAAGTTAAATCTAAGGACCCTTTTCCACACCTTCAGGTGTACTGGGCATATAGGGCTTGGCCTGTATTTTACAGACCAATCGGCACTCAGTGTGAGATGTCATCGACATCACACCGGCCACCTTTACTTCCTAGGATTTCATCTGGTACCCATTTTAGGCTGGGTCGACCTGAGAGCCAAGTCAATTTTTGTTAAAAGTCCGGCTCCTTCAGGACCCGAACACATGACCCTCGGACCCGCAGGCGAGCGCAAAGACATTACACCACCGCGGCTCCCGAATACCGATCATCATCATGTGGCGTGCTGGGAGTGTAGGCTGTCATTTTCCGCCATCTCAGACGATCACCAGAATAACGGATCAGTTTAATGTTTTTGTCCCGCCCCATTCATCTGGCCAGGTCTTCCAGGTATTTATCTCTTCTCCTTCCTCTTGCTCTGTCCATCAAACTTGTTACCAAGCTAACAAGCCAATTCCTGCTCCTAGCATGTCCAACAAACATCGCCTGTCTACATCTGATTGTTCTACAAAAGATATAAAACAGAACGAAAAGTATATTAGCAAGCTTCAGAATATAACAAATACAAACAAAACGTGAACGTTGCCGCTATGGAGCCTTCATCGACACACACTTTTTTTTTCAGTATCCAGACGCCATGAGTTGTTAACCCTTAGGCTCGGTGTTATGGATATCGCAACCCTTCAGCCTTGATTCCATGATAAATACCGTAAATCTGGGAGAAATGTGGCTTTTCTGCCTACCCCCGGGCGTGAACCCGGACCACAAGGAGTTCGTCACCCGGTCACCGCGCAATCCGGTTTAGCCAACTACGCTAGTGAGCCGGGCTATCGGCACATACAAATCAAACAATACTACACAGATACACAAAATCACTTAGCTGGTATCTCGAAGCAGCCGGGTTTCTCAGCAGAATGCCAACACGTGTCGGCTAGAGTGGGGGGGGGGGGGTGGCGGTGGGGGATACCCCCTGTGGAGTACCAGGGGCCATAACTAGGGGAGTAATAGATAAAACTGTAAGGGCAGTTTAATTCCCTGGGAGTTTAAATGAAACTGTGTTGACAATTCAGTCCGGAGGATGTTAAAGTTTCCAGAGTATAAATAAAGCGAATGGAAGTGGGAACATAATGGCACATAGGTGTAACTCATAAGTGCTCCGTTGTACTTCTAATTTAAGCCTGAGTCTGAAATATCTCAGCGCTGTGCAAGAAATCCGTTGCAGCGGTGAGGATCCTGCAATACTTTGGGTAGATTTTTAACTCTACGTTTTGCCTGGGTAGCGCCGTTAGGCTACTCTTTTTCGATTTCCAACTGACAGAGGATTTTTTACGTGCGCAACAATGCACACGGGCGTCTTCTACTCAGAAACCAAAGAAAATTATTAGAAGAAAACGTGAAAAAATTCCAGCCTTCACCGGGGCTTGAACCAAAACCTCCAGCATTCGAGGCGGACACCATACCCCGAGACAACTCAGCTCCCTGATGAATAAGTGTTTGATAACTTAGTCCTGTCCATTTCATGATGTTGTCATTCCAGGTTCTTCTTTGCCCTCCTCTTCGTCGACTACCCCCCCCCCCCAACCACCCTTTTTCTTTTTAAAACCCCCAGTGTTCCTTGAAGCAGTCTTTGCAATCGAATCATGTCTCACCAGGTGCCCAAACCAAGCTAGCTTGCGACGTTTCACCGCTGCAAAGAGAGGCTCCTGTCATCCCGCATATTTTTGTATTTGGTCTCTGACAAATAAGGGTAAGAAAGACATTTTAAAAAGTTAATGAAACTTCTCAAACTAATGGTACATAGGACATACAGAAGGGGCGTCGCTGTTCAGCTACAATCTGTCTTAGTGCCTAGCAAATCGCTGCGCCTCTTTGGATCGTCGTTCGCCGTACAATCGTGGCTTGTGCAGCAGACTCCCTAATGTCAGTTTACATTGAAGTCTCTAAGTCATGCCTTAAGTGTGTCCTTGCAGCGTTTCTATTTCTGACCATCATATAAGCGTCTACTTTCTTGTATCTCACCGTAAATGATTATTTTTGGGAGCCGATGGTCAGGCAAAAGGACATGGTGACCTGCTGACCGAATCTGTGACTGCATCAAGATGGTCTCGATGTTGGGAATGTCAGTTCGACAATATCCGGAACCCTGCCCTGCCCTTTGATGTTCAGTATCTTTCTCACACTGTATGGAAGTGGGTGAGCTTCTTTGCCTGACGTCTGATGAGTTGGTTAAAAAAACCGACATCACAGCACTCGGGGCATTCCCATTAGCTCTCCGTCCCCATCTTCTGCAGCCAGCGAAGAGTTCCGATACTAATGGTGCCAGTAGCATTCTGATTAAACGTCCGTCTTGCCTTTCCTCTGAGCCTCGAGCATTTGCCAGAACCTCTCGTCCCTCCCCGCTGAATCAGTCTCACCAGACTGTGGTGATCAATCTGCTCCTCCGAACTGTACAAGCTCTCCCACAAGGCACTAACCACGTCTACCTTTTCATGAATCAGTATTCCACCAAGCTGTGCAGAGCCAGCCAGTCTCGTTTCCCAACCTGACGTCTTTATACAGTCCAAGCAGCACAAGCCTACAGCCGTGCTAGAAGCACCAGAGCTCTGCACACCTTCAGTTTAGTTTGCAGACTGATGCTACTTCGATGCCAGACATTGATATATTGTCTGCCAAATTTGTAGCTGGCTTTAGAGATCCAGGTGTTTACCTCGTCGTCAATGGTGACAGTTTGAAACTGTTATTATTATTATTACTATTACTATTATTATTACTACTACTATTATTATTATTATTATTATTATTATTATTATTATTATTATTATTATTATTATTATTATTAATATGTACCGAATGATAAGCGGCGTCAGTGGCTTAGGCTTGCGAGTCCGACTCGTAATTCCAACATACTGCTATCGAAACCCACTGCTGGCTGCGCGGATTTTTATCGTGGTATGGGGCGTCGCAAGTCGACCCAGCCTAAAATGGGCACCAGGATGTATGTCCTGGGGAAGTGAAGACGGTCGGCTTATGCTGACCACATTACCCACCAAGTGCCGATTGGTCTGTTAAAATATGGGTGCTCTTTCCATATGCCCGGTGCGCCTAAAGGCGTAAAAATGGATCTTTACTTTACTAAATGATAAATTAAAAACAAAAGATAATATATTTTCCCAATGGGGATTCCGGAACCCATTGTGGAGAGGGAAAAAGTACAGACCTACTGCACCTACCTCCCCTCCCTTTTTTTTTAAAAACAAGCCTTAAAAGGCGTCTTAATATGGGCGTTTCCTTTGAAGTCAGTGCATCTGGCTGAGAGGCAAGGAACCAAGAGTCTGTATACAAATAAGGTAGAACTGTAAAATAAATGTGCAGGCAGACCTTAAGTTCTGGAACAAGGCTAAATTCAAGAAGTGGACGAACTACCAAAACATTTCGCTGGAGTTTACAGCCGATGAAGTGGTAGGGTGCAGTGTGCGCATAGCTAGCTATTCTTTACTGTCCCGTTTGGACCTAGTAATGGCAAACCGCAAAACATAAAAGTTGCCTTGAAAAACCACACGACTGCTCTGTGACGTTACAGAGTTGATATTAAACCAATCGATTGTAATGTCGATTAGGCCCTTAAGTGAAACAAAGGTAATATTCACTGAACGAGCCAAAGCCATGCCTTTTAGTTTCTCTTAACACAAACGTAAGCTATTTTTACAAAATGCAATATCTCTATGTGACAACCGTAAAGAGAATGAAAATGGGAGACGTATTCATATGCAAGTTTGCACCACCTAAATATAATAAAGAATAAGTTCAGCCAGCAGAAATAATTTAATAATAGCCGCATTCTTATTTTATAAAAACCAGGATAAGCGGTATATTGTTATTTGTAACGATGAAAGGAAACAAATGGCGTGGTTAGTTTTTACGATGTTACCTCATCTAGCCTAATTATGTGAGACAGTTCAGGATTGGGGGAGGGGGAAGGGGGGGGGGGGGCTCTATCAAGACTGGCTGGTCAGCTGGAACCGGTCTTGGCTCTGTGCAGGGTTAACTAAAGCTGTGGATGTGGACTGAGGATAGCGACGAAGCAATGTGAGCACAGATGAGAATGTTG